CATCCATGCAGCACCAGATGTTCGCTTCCTGATAGGCCTACAAGTCTTGTCGAGGTAAAGCAACAAGTTCAACTGCAGGTTGTTTGATTTTCTTTATGAAAAGCAAAGAGTAATGGGTGCAGAGTAATGGGTGCAGGGTAAAGGGAGGGGTAATGTGCAGTTCAATTATGATTAAGTCACTGTAAACACAAGAACATATGCCAGCCCGACCACTCTGCGTTTGTAACTCAACAAACGCGAACCTCGTTTTCCAGGGGGGAGCAAGTGCCTCCCCTTGCGCCCCCCCCCCCCTCGCGACGCCCATGACGGCTACGACGAGCATTTTTGGCGACCCGGTTGATTACAAAACATTATTTTCAACATCTTTAAGACGAGTGCATTTTGAAAACCCCTTAATTAATCCCAACCCAACCCGAGCTTGTTTTAACAGTGCTCGACTGTACCTTGAATAGAGACGGCTTGAAATACGTGCTCATGCCACAAAATGTCCGCCGGGGGGGGGGGGCTTTTCTCAGGAACGGTAAGACATTAAGTAGTTTCCTTTCAACCAAATTAGCTTTGAAATAGGATAAGTAAACAATCACATACGATTATTGGGGATTTCAGGCCGTAATTCCCCTTGAACATGCATTGCATGGTACGAACTCTTGAAAGTACAATGTACATGTAATAACATATTTACCTGCTGCCAGCGCTAGTATTGATGTGAACATGACAATACTAGTGGAAAAAGAAGCGATGATCATAGAGACACCGAGCATGAAACCGCTGATAGTCACCACCGTGCGAGTACCAAACATGGCCTCAAGTGGTGTAGCAAGGAGACCTATTACAACACAAAAATGGTTGGTAATTTCTTTACGTGCTTTATCATATGGGCCCATGTTTGTTTGCCTATATCGGAACGAACTTTGGTGGGAATCTTAAAGGTAGGAAAATCGGGACATCCAACATTCCCATTATTGTACAGACGCTGTACATGAACACTTCAAATTCGTTATCCGTGTGGACATTTTCAAAAAAAGTGATGCATAATTTTGTGCATTTGTGCTGAATGAATAATTATGTGTACTACTCACTTAAAACAGCTTCAGCCAACCCCCCCCCAAAAAAAACCCCACACACACCCCCCACACACCCTCTCAAATTTGTATCCTTGTGGAGACATTCCTTTGTTCTCGTGTAGTAAGTGTTCAATTTTGAAAGTGAAGTTTCAAAATGCTCTTATTTTAACCAGAATTAGTTTCCTTGGCTGAAATTTGGACTTAATATCCCTTTTCTAAAACTCTTCCATTTGCGACGGATCAACCCACCTTGGAAATTCCTAGTTTTTGTGTAAAACCCATATATCTATTTCGTGAAAACCTTGTGGAGACCTATTCATCTATAAAAATTGCCCTGTGGAGACCTTTACAATGTTTTGTTCCCTATTGTGTGTGTGTCTCCACAAGGATACAAATTTGTAGTCACCCACACGCACACACCCACCCAGGTTTACGTTACATACCTTGTGTGGACATTCCTTTGTTTTCGCGTAGTTAAGAAAACTCGGTACAAAAAATAACTTTACTTAAACTGTGAAAACTCTTTTAACCAATTTTTTTTTCTATGATTCCCTATTATAGTGTTTCTCTTCATTCTGCTACGGATAAACCTAACCCAAAAATGCCTCTAAACCTGTTTTCCAGAAAGGGCAAAACCTTATGTGGACACAGCTTAGTCCACATAACGTTAACACAACCTGCATTATGTTGACATCTCTTGTTCACAAGTCCACATAGGGAATGTAAGACAAACTCACACACAAACAGTACTGTGGAGGTACAGGGTTGCCACTTCTTGTCTTGCCTGTCGAGCTGTCATGGCCAGTGGCGTCACCAGACTTTTCAGTCTGGGGGGGGGGGGGGGGGGGGGCACAGGGGGGGGGGCACCAGCATTTGATGGGGGGGGGGGGCACTTAGGTGGATACGGATCGCCGTCCTGGGGGAGGGGTCTAAGGGGAGGGGGTGCCCTCCTCCCCTTTGGAAAATTTTCGCATACGGAGGATGGGCTAGATGCAAAATGGTGCCACATTTGATGCTAAATTCGATCTGAAAAACCAACTCAGATGATGGGAGTTGAATATAACAAAATATATATATATATTTGTTTACCAACCCAAATCTCAGATGGGGGGGGGGGGGGCACTCGGGGGCACTAGGTTTTCCAGGGGGGGGGGGGGCACGTGCCCCCTGCCCCCCCCCCCCCCCCCCCCCTTGGCGACGCCACTGGTCATGGCGTCGTACAGCTTTCTTTCACCGGAATTTGCTCATGCTTTTTACAATCTGTTTTAAAGTTTTCCTTATTACTTGTGGTTACTAAGGATTCGGAAAATGTTTTGACTACCTTTCCCTAATAGTTTAAACGTAAATTTGTCCAATTTTTCCTGTCCAATACTATCATTTTTTTCCCCCGATTCCTCCTGCCAAATACTGTCCGATTCCTCCTGTCAAATTTGTCCGATTTCTCCTGCCAAATGCTGTCCGTTTTTTACTGTCAAATACTGTCCGACTCCTGCCAAATACTGTCCGATTTTTCCTGTCCAATTTGTCCGATTTTTCCGGCCCATTATACTGTCTGATTTTTCCTGCCAAATTCTGTCTGATTTTTCCTGCCAAAAACAGTCCGATTCCTCCTGCCAAATACAGTCCGATTCCTCCTGCCAAATACTGTCCGATTCTTCCTGTCAAATTTGTCCGATTTTCCTGCCAAATACTGTCTGATTTTTCCTGCCAAATACTGTCTGATTTTTCCTGCCAAATAGTGTCCGATTTTTCCTGCCAAATACCGTCCGATTCTTCCTGCCAAATACCGTCCGATTCCTCCAGCGTATAATACTGTCGGATTCCCCGAATACTGTCCGATTTTTCCTGCCAAATAGGCTGCTATTTTTCCTTTCAAATTTGTACGATTTTTCCTGCCAAAATCTGTCCTATTTTTCCTGTCAGATTTGACAGTTTTGTTCATCCAATAGGTTGTTCGTACATACGCGCATGCAGCCTATGCTCGAGGGCACCGGGCACTATTTGGCACCAGACACAATAATTTGGCACGTACTTAGGGGCCAAATAGAGTCTTGTGCCTACTGCGCATGCTCAGCGGACACTATTTTGGCACCGGACGGTTTTGGCACGATCGACACCGGTCTTGAGATATCACGAAAATCTCATCTATTATCCTTTGAGGAAACTGTACTTTAATGCAGTCTTGATTGCTTTTGTAAATAGTAAGCAATGTATCCTTTATCCCTTTACTAGACGGTTTAAGTGATCTTTACGTATTTTTTTTGATTGTTTGTCTTATTTTCAAGATGCCACTGGCATTTGAGTTTTGATTAATTCATCCTAGTTATTCTTTTTAATGCCTCTTATTGTGTTCCTTTAATATAGATTTTCCGCTCAGTTTAAAGCTACAGTTCATCATTTGCAGCTATCCAAAAGGTGACTGACGTACGTAATTATTGATGAAAACATACTTGGTTGAAAGAAAGCAAGGGGACTAAACTCCCTGTGAAATTATTCTTTCTGGCAAGCTGTCCTTTTGAAGAAATCAACGAAAGAAGGCCTTTCCAAAGACGCACCGTTGGAAATTTCCGTTAGTAGTTCGGCGAAGCGCGCGCCCTCCTGTGCGTCGTTCCTATGCTTGTAAGCGCTCTGCCGAATAACAAAACGAACAACTAATTTAAAATTTCCTACGGTGCTTCTTAAGAAGCACCGTTGGAAATGCCTTCTTTCGTTGATTTCTTCAAAATGAGTGCTTGCCAGAAAGGATAATTTCACAGGGAGTTTAGTCCCCTTACTATCTTTCAACCAGTATGTTTTTCAACAATAATTACGCCAGTTACTTTTTCGGATAGCTGCAAATGATGGACTCGGGCTTTAAAGCTATAGTCCATCATTTGCAGCCATCCGAAAAGTAACTGGCGTATTATTGTTGAAAAACATACTTCGTTGAAAGATAGTAAGTGGACTAAACTCCCTGTGAAATTAATCTTTCTGGCAAGCTGTCATTTTGAAGTAATCAACGAAAGAAGGCCTTTCCAACGGTGGGTCTTAAGACGCACCGTAGGCAAATTTAAATTAGTAGTTCGTTTTGTTATTCGGCGCAGCGCGTGCAAGCATTGACACGACGCACAGGCGCTTGCAGGCTAGGCATTGCTGTTAGACTGATGCACATATAGGGGTACTACTGGCATTGATGCGCTATATCTTAAATTTTCTCCGCAACTACTCGGTTTCAAGACCTGTACGTTTGCCAGCTTGTTGGCCTCATCACAAGCTTCCGAACAAGGTATAGTTTGTGTATAGAACTTCCCAGGTTAAGGTACCTTTAGACCGCGATATACGAAGTTCGTGTCGCGGGCGAATGCATGCATTGCTGTTAGACTGACTGCACATAGGTGTACTACTGGCATTGATGCGCTATATCTCGAATTTTCTCCGCAAGTACTGGGTTTTCAAGACCTGTCCTTTTGTCAGCTTGTTGGCCTCATCACAAGCTTCCGAACAAGGTATAGTTTGTGCAGAACTCTCCAGGTTAAGGTACTTTTAGACCGCGATATACGAAGTTCGTGTCGCGGGCGTGCGCGGTTGCTATAATTCGTCGGATCAGTGCGCGACATCGCGTATAGCTGCAATTCAAAACAATTCAAAACATGATTCAGCAACTTTTGATTTGAAATTGAGATCCTAGATCCTAGATCCATCGTCCTTGGCTCCCGATTTTGTGTACAATAGGTACCGAACTTTGTTGTTGAAAATTATCAAGTGGCTATTTTTTTCCTTAAGGAATAGAAAGAAAAGTCACCATTGTTGTAGGTAGTAAGCTCAAAAACTGTGTAATTACATAATTTAATAGTTGGCGTTTTTCAGTAGCCCAGGCGTGCAGGGTGAAGTTCTGAAGGGCGCCATTTGTTGAAAGTGAGTACCGGAGCACGAGCAGCTTAAAATCGCTATACCGAACGATCGCTATTACGAACAATTTCTGTAGATTCCTGTTCGTTATATCGGCGTTTCACTTCCAGTATTGACATAAAATTTACTAGGCCTATAGGTTTTCCTGGCCAATTTCGCAAAAACAGCGTTCAAATTCATCTTGATAGTGGCCGATTTGAAACGACATATAGCTCCTTGCTGTCATTCGATCGCTTGGTTCGTATAAGTTTCCAGACGTTCAAATTCGTTTGTCAGACCTGACATTTTCATTTTTAACACATCCTTCAATTTAGCAGTCTGTTTGGTTTAGGGTTATTTGCATAAGAAACCTATTTTCGTTTTCATCTCCGCGCATCCCATTTAGTACTTTCTGCATTAAAAATAATGGGAAACGAAGGCAAGATGCGAGATTTATATTTGTATCACTTTTCACATGTTCTTTTATTATTGGTTTCATGCTAGTCTCTTTTGTTCAAAAGTATAATTATGTTAGGCCTATCTGTCTTTATAATCTGAACAAGTAAAAGTGTAAACTAGTGAAGCGAAACAATTAAACATCGTACACGAAAGTCGACACATAAACAATAAACTTATAATAGGCAACATTGAACTAGGAGATCCTTTATACCTCTTTTTATCGCGTTCACATACTATTTTAAACGTTCTTGTTACCTTTTGCTCTTTAATTAAGTTGCGATCTGGGTTTTCTTATATCTCTAACCTTTTCCTCAATTAGCTTTATTTTAAACAAGCTTCATTTCAGTACACGTGCTTTATTTTTATGCAAAATATAGTAATTTGTAGCCGAATCTCGGGGAAACAGTTAGTTTTTATGCATTTTTAAAATTGGAACAAAGAAACAAAGAACAAACTGACGAACAAAGTAATTACATGAACCGGCTTCGAATACCTTTGCTCATATTTCGCAAATGCTTGCTTAATTGCGAATTCGAATTCCCAAACTGACGCAACGTGAAGCTCATGCGAATTTGAATGACCCGATATGACATTTTATGAATGCATTATCTTTGAAATTGAATCGTTGAAAAGTGCAATCGCATATGCTTTTACATTTAAACTTATTTATTTAATTGAATGTTGATCTAAACATGCATCCAAATTCGTGCGAAAATGGGTGATTCGTCACCAATTTGGCTTATTAAACTATTTATATAATAATGATATCATCCACAATCAACAAATTGCAATGAAACGGTACACGATCCTTTCTATAACTTTTTTTCTTTTGATGTCACACGTCAGCATTCTCGTAGTTTAATTAGGCGTATTTCAAGCCGTCTGCTGATACTTGCATCTCGACAGGACCCATTCCATCAACAGCCCCACCAACGAAAGAGCTGATATGCATCCCAGAATAAAAAAGGCCCAATCAAAACTCCCACTCTGGTCGTACATCCAACCTGAAAAAAAAAAGAAACAAGAAAAGCAGTTCCAAACAGTTGACATTTCGTGTGCTTCGTCGATGTCAACATACCTCATTTTAATCAACAAAAATATCTCCTTATATTACGCAACAGGTATTTCTTTAGAGAGACAGGGGAATGGTAGGGAATATAAAATGTTGAACGTATAAACTTTTTAACATGGACACGAATAAGCAACTACCATTGGTGTATGGCTGTGAGAACCCTTAAAAGAGGTGACCATCGACAATGTGAATGGAACAACTTGTATTCGTGATGATAGCGCCCATTATAATAACTGACATACAGATCCGTGTAAAGATGTCTCCTGTACAAAAGAAAGTTGTACACATTGCAAACATTTGTATTTACAACTGTAGTAACTGTATTATATTGCAAACGAACCGAACTAGTAATTGAAGTTGAATTTTTTTGTGAGCTGTACAAGTTTCCCCGAATTTTGTTTTAGGTGCATAATAATAAAACAAAATTTGGCAACTGAATATGTATGAGGTATAGTAAAACAAATATAACATGGTTTATTTCGGGTGGACAGTCGATATTAGCTCCCCTCGGTATTGGAAGTTGACAAACTAGTTCCCTCGGCTTCGCCTCGGGAACTAGTTTGTCAACTTCCAATACCTCGGGGAGCGAATATCGACTGTCTACCCTCTAACCATGTTATATTTGTATACTATCCGCCCATGGGGAATGGGAAATACTATTCAACAGTTAGGATCATGACGCGGTATTTGTGTGTAAATGCATGCTGGTGAGCGCGTTCAGCGTTGCGCGTAGCGCGTATTGTTCCAAAGAGCCAGCGCTACAGCGTTGGGTTCAAACATTTTCGTGAAGGGGTGGTTTGGAAGAGAGAAATACATTTTCCTCCAGTTTTGTATTGAAAAAAAAGTTCAAATATATCAAATGACAAGGATCTATATGTCAGTTATATAAAACAAATATTGAGTGGCTTTAAATTGTGAAATGGCAGGAATATTATCGCTCGGTAGGTAAAACCTGGACTTTTCCAGTTCACTCGGCTTCGTCTCGTGAAATGGAAAAGTCCAGATTTTACCTTGCGATAATATTCCTCCCATTCCACGCTGAGCCACTCAATATTTGTATACTTTCATTGGTTTGGGGATGGTACACAATATTTACATGGCATGTATTGGTCGATGGGGACGGTATACAATGTTTACATGGCATTTATTTGTCGACAAACCTAAGACATCAGAATTGCATTGAGATTAATGACACTATCCCTGCATGCAATATTCTGTTCTCGCAAAAGCAATAAGATGAGACACGAAATGCCTTACCTGGATAGAATCCAAGGCTGAAACCTAAAATGGCCGTCAACGTTTCCATCCAAGCGAAAGCACATACCAAGAGATCAGTTCCAAGCAGCTCCCTAGTGTACAGATCATTCAATAAGGCAATTGCTCCATTCCCAGCACAAAAGACGAAGGAGCCGGCCATCATCAGCCAGTAGGTATTTAACCAGGGAGCTATCAGTAGAGCCGAGGAACTCAGTACGATCATCAGCACCAACGCCGGTCGTAAATTCAACAAATTTCTGTCGACGATAAAACCAAACACAATCCTGGAAACGACGTTGCCGACCCCTCCGGCTGTGGTGAATGTCACAGCCTCGTATGGAGAGAATCCTTTTGCTTCTGCTTGAGAAACGTAATAGATCAACCAATGATCATCCACAAAACGGCCCAATATTAAGATGACTGCTGTGAACCAAAATGAGACCTGGAAACAAACTGAGATTCCAATGTGTTTCACCATGGACTTGAGGGGGTCTTTGAAGGTATTATATGATGACTGCTTCAGGTTGCCTTTCTCCTCGGCACTTGATGAACCAACTCGAGGTTCCTCATTGGCGTCGGTGCTCAACGGCTGATAGCTGCTATTTGTCTCGGTTTCATCAGTCGACGATGAACGCAAGATGGCGCCACACACCCCAAGATGCAGGGCGAACCCTCCAAGAATAAGCAAAGCCCCTCTCCAGCCATACGTATCCAGCAACAGTTGGGCAAATGGCCCAGCAGTGATCAGGCCTATTGGAGCTCCCGAACCCCCAATTCCTGCTGCAATACCATAGTTTGTCGGAAAACTGCGCCCAATTAGCGCCCTTGTCAGTATAGGGACGACACTTAAAGCAGGACCTGCGGATGTTAGACGAGAAAATCAATGAGTGATCAAATTCGACAGACGTATTAAAATGAAGGATCCCTATGCTATATGGGATTGTGACAGCATTGTGTTTTTGTATAGGCCTAATATTTTTTCGAAATTGTTAACGTTGCTTCCATTAACTTGTTTAATGTAAAAGGCCAATGCAATATTCCAGTTTATATAACTGACATACAGATCCTAGTCATTTGATTGGTGGAACTCACATCACGTGACATTCGTTATTGCTCCCATTCACTGTATACTGCACATGTACACGTACGTGTACCATGTACATGTACGTGTACGTACGTCCGTGTGCGGATTTGTGTTAGGAGCACATCGCGCGCGCAGTACAGGCAAGCGGAGCTAGCTAGCCAGGGGGCTGCGAGCGGCGTACGTTGCAGTGACAAGTAGGGTAAAACGGCTGCCGGACAGTTCAGGGAAAAGCTTGGCTTGACAGCATTGGTCAAGGCTAGGTTCAGCTAGAATCTTTGGCTTACTTGGTTCCCCCAGTTAGTGTTGTGAGACTCCGAAACCGGTGTTGAAACCAAGGAAAAGTCTGACGTTGGAGTTAAATAAACCAGTAAAGTCACTGTGTGAAAGCTCTGTTTCCCAACAAATTCGTTATCATAGATAATAATGTTGATTCTAATATAAAGCTAATGAACTAATAGGGAATGCAACAAGAATTTCAGGAATGAATTGCAGGGCAGCTCCGTCGCACAGCCTTTAACGTTCCACCACTTGAAACTTAGAACTGATAGACACATGGATTACAAGATACGAGAACTGTTCGATGGCTCATTGATGTTCTCCGAAGTCACCGTGTTAAAATTAGAAAAAGTTTTAACTATGGAAGGTTGTGAATCTTTTCTTTCAAAACTGAAGGAGGAACTATTGCAGTCATATTTATTTTATCGTCAATGTAAAATCCCCCCCCTCCCTGAGAATTTGAGATTCTCAAAAAATTATCATTGATGACGCCCCCCCCCATGAAATGTTCCAGCACAAAGTGCTTCCCCGTCACTGTAGCGGTCCGCTCCCGCTTCAGTCCGGCCGTCTCTAGCTCTGCGAAGCGATAGCTCGTACCGTGCCCACTCGTTCAGCTAGAATCTTTGGCTTACTTGGTTCCCCCAGTTAGTGTTGTGAGACTCCGAAACCGTTGTTGAAACCAAGGAAAAGTCTGACGTTGGAGGAATCCGCACAAAGTTAAATAAACGACAATTGTTTTTTTACTGTTACATATCCGTGGCAGCCTGTCCAACTTTTAGCTTTTATTTTATGTTTTAAGATTTAAAATAAAATAATTGAATCAAATAAATCAAATAAAGTTTCTTCAAGTCTTTATTACGCTGGAGATTTCCCGATCGCAGTACATATGAGAGGCAGCCCAAATAGGCGCGACCTAATCCGGCCAAATTACGATTTGTATACTAGTTTATCTGTAATAATAAAGAATTTTGGCCCCTGCACTTGAGGGTCTGTATTTGTAGAAGTGAAGGGTCCAGGTCCCTGAATTTGGATTTCTGAACAAAACATTTGAATGGAATCTATATTGATATGGAGTGGAAGGAATCTGTTTGTTTTTTTGTTTTTCAAAATGGCGATGGGGTGATCATCGTTGGAGGGAAAAATCACCAAAAAGTCATAGGTCGACCCCCCCCAAAAAGATTTCCAAAAGGTAAAGAGGATTAATTCAGCTTTCATTTGATGTATGTTTTGATCACCTGTGAGGGTTCAGAGTATGTTCCCCGATTTGTTTAAATTGGGGTATTTATCTTTGGTGCCTATGGGAATTTATGTATTGGTGTGCACCGTTAAACGGAGTGCTGTAAATTCAGGGATCGCATCAACAACTGCTTTTGAATCACACAGTCATGTTTGTGTACCATACTTTCCCACACATAAACTGTTCATCTGGAAGGCTCATGTCACAGGAATGTCCCATTAAATTGTTTAGAAATTATGTTGAAAATAACATCTTCAGGGATTCCCAGCACAACTCCTCACAATAAGCCCAGTGTTAACAATATTTCTCGTTGTGGGTCTGAAAATGAAAATTGTCGGTTTGTGTATTATGAATATGATCAAGTGAAATTATTTATGCAGTATTTTGCCCATTTCCCTCAAAATTGCATATTGTAATATTGTACATTTTTATCAATTTGCTAGAATATGTGAACCTCATCAACAAGTATCTTTTAACGAAATTCAATCAGAATATTTATCAATTTTTAAATTTTATTTTAGTTTTTTTGTTACTTGTTGGTGTCCTAGCCACACTGTACGATGGTGTAGCCGTGCGTTATGCACGTGGATTGTTTACTTTCGTTTTGACGGGGACTTTACTGAAAAGAGTCCGGTGACTGTACATAGAAATTTCTTTGAATAAAAGTCGAATCGTTCATTCATGTACACTTGTTATGCAAAGCAGGGGCAGTGGTTCAAGGATATCTATGTCGACTTGCAGAAAGTGTGCAAGAACGCGACTTGAATGTTTTTATGTGTTCACAATACAACGACGCTGTTTAGTTCAGCGATACTTGCTGGGGAGCTTTTGCGTACGACTTTCTGTACTGTTGTCTCCAGGACAATTGTGTGTACGGTAACCCGACGTACCCAGATTTTTAAAGACGAAATTGCCGACCTCAAACTTGTTAGTGCCATATTTGGCAACTATATGTGCGTTATTAGTTTAATTAAACATATGAACAGGTTAATTAAACATAGAACCATTGAAGGTACCTAAAAGTAAACATAACAGCATAGAAGCTTTTAGGGCGTTACCGGCAAGTTAACACAAACTTGGTGTCAAATAGATCATGGGAGTTACTTTTCTTTGACTTTTCATACAAGGTCACATAAACTTTAACTGTATGACCTGCAGTGGCGTAGCTACATGGGGGGGGGGGGGGGGGGGGGCTTGGGGGGCACAGCCCCCATGAAACCTTGTCGCCCCCTAGTTGCCCCCCCCCACTGAGATTTTGAGTTTCTAAAAAAATTATCATTGATCTACATGACGCCCCCCCCATGAAATGTTCCAGCCCCCCCCCCCCAGCGCCCCCACTGAAAAATTCCTTGCTACGCCACTGCCCTTCACCGACGTACAAACACTGTATACTCAGTGTGTAATATTTTGTCTCCGATGGATAAATTAAGCTGTTGAGTGCAAGTTGTGAATCGCATTCTACGGATGTGTAAGAAACAACATTGGTGTCACGGGCGCCCGGGCGTCGCTAGACCATTTTGAATGTGTGTGCCAGAATGAAATTGGCCGACGGACTGTCACGCAAACTGAGTGTAATTGATAATTTCCGCCCAAAATTATCCCTTTAAAATTCCATTTCTAATTTTCTCCACAAATATATGAATGGTTAATTATGTTGATTACTTTGAATGGGATTATTTTTTCAGTGGGATAAGTCCAACTTCAAAAGTAAATCATCATAATTTGGCCCTATCATATTGAAAAGTTTTGGACATTTTGCTCATCGTAAAACTTAACTGAGTTAAGTAGCGACGCCCGTGATTTGTGTATTGGTTTGTGTTTGTGATATGTGTTATGCGTGATATGTGTTTTACGTGACACACACAACGTGTATAGTACAGTCGATCACGATTATTACGAGTACGGTTGCACGAGGACACGGTTATCACAAGCATATTTCGTCAGTCCCGACCAAAACGTGCACATTTCTATGGGAGAAAATTGGCTTAATACGAGAAGCATTAACACGAGAGGACGGTAACCATGGGCGTTTTTTCGGGGGGGGGGGGGCAAAGGAAATTTTCCCCAAAAATTCCTTAACGTTTTCATTATATTCTCAATTTATCATTTTTTCCGAGCGTGAGCAGGGGAGCATTTGCCCCCCCCCCCCCCACATCAAATTAACAGCAATATGGCTCCGCACCTCTTTTTCCTTTTTTGAGTGGTCGGGCACAACCCGCGGGTTTTCTCCTAAACGGTATATGGTATGAACTTGTAACTTTCAACATAAATTGACCCTCATCCCTAGTGGTGAATATTACTCTGACGTCATGATGACGTCATCGGGTGTCAAATCACAAGCGATTTTCGTTGGAAAAATGACGAACTTCTTTCACCTTTAACTCTTGAACAACACAATCAATCATGTTCCAACCTTATATTCAGATAGACCATAAATTGATAAACATTTTTTGTCGTGTGCATGAACTCGCTTGACCTTTATTTCCGGGTCAACCGGAAGGTCAAAGTTAGGCGAATTCAAAATGAAGACATTAGCCTGAAATCAAAACAAAGCAAAATTTCTTCCTAACGGTTCACGGTCTGATCATAAAACATAGTGTGAACTTGTACCATGTTACAAAGATGTTATAAATTGTGTTATGTCATCATGACGTCATCAGATATCAAATTACAAGCGATTCCAGGGCAAATTTTGACAAAATCGTTTGCACTATATCTTTTGAACTGAATAGAGTATCGTGTTAATTTTTTCGTGAGGTTGTAGACTATGCCGTGAGAAACATTTCTTGTCCCCACACACAAAACCGCTTGACCTTTACTTCCGGTGTTACCGGAAGTGCAATAAAAACCGAATATAACTCAAAAGCGGAAGCATTTTACTACACACATATAAATTATGAAAGTGTTTAGTGAGAAATGCCAGTCACAAAAAAGTGTGATGACGTCATCATTCAAAAGGACGCCCCCTAGCGGCACATTTAATATTGTTTGCTTTCTTTATTTTGAAAACCATCCGTTCAAATTTTACCAGAATGCCCCTTGATGTTCTCTGATTAACCACAGAAAACTTGGCAAGGTTTCAAATTCATGACGTAATCAGACCGGAAGTTACTTCTATTAGAATTTGAAAATGATCATATTTTCAATTAAATTCTATCATTTGATCCATGTTGTATATCTTCGTAGTCCAAATAACGATATCCATTACAAATTTACAATGTTCACCTTTTACTTCCAAATACTGTGACGTCATCAAACCGGAAGTAAGGTGTTATGAATACTACACTTATATTTTCCAGATTTTCATGCGTTAATTATAAACTTCACAATGGATATTTATCCACAAATCAGTATCACTTCCCGTTTGTGAATAATGACGTCATCAAGCAAGAAACTAGAGGTTCGCGTTTGTTGAGTTACAAACGCAGAGTGGTCGGGCTGGCATATTTTCTTGTGTTTACAGTGACTTAATCATAATTGAACTGCACAATACCCCTCCCATTACCCTGCACCCATTACCCTGTGTTTTCACAAAGAAAATCACACAACCTGCAGTTGAATTTGTTGCTTTAATACCTCGACAAGACTTGTAGGCCTATCAGGAAGCGAACATCTGGTGCTGCATGGATGGCTACTCAAGCATACAACCAGTTGGGACTATTGGTAGAGTTAACGAAGCCTCTAACGTCGTTAGAGTTTATGCAAAAGAATTATGCTAATCTTAAAATAAAATGGCTTGTTTGTTTTATTTTGTTTTTGTCTTTTGCATGGGCATAATAAATTCTGCACTAAGGTTACTTAATTTTCAGCATTCAGATATGAGAGAAAAACTGGCGAAGCGCGATTTCAATCGGTTATCGCGAAAAATATCAGAAAATGGACGAGAATATTAAAATTGAATTCATGGTCAGAATTGGAATCGGTAGACTTGAGGGAGCCTCTATGACGTGTTTGAAGCTTAATATATGCAACATTTGATTATCTCAATATCAAAAATAAAATGGCTTATGTCTTTTGCATGCATGGGCTTCCTAAAATTCTGCTAGTTATCCTCGCATATCTGAATGCTGAAAATTAATATTTCCACAGCGTGTAAACACACCTTTTTTGTCGTAAAGTCAGTGCAGAATTTTATTATCCCCATGCAAAAGAAAAAAACCCATCAAAGCCATTTTATGATATGATTAGCAATAGCATATGTTTCATAAACGTCAACGACGTTAGAGGCTCTGGCAAGTCTACCAATAGTCCCAACTGGTTGTATGCTTGAGTAGCCATCCATGCAGCACCAGATGTTCGCTTCCTGATAGGCCTACAAGTCTTTTCGAGGTAAAGCAACAAGTTCAACTGCAGGTTGTGTGATTTTCTTTGTGAAAACACAGGGTAATGGATGCAGGGTAATGAGAGGGGTAATGTGCAGTTCAATTATGATTAAGTCACTGTAAACACAAGAACATATGCCAGCCCGACCACTCTGCGTTTGTAACTCAACAAACGCGAACCTATATTTTTTATTTTGTTTTTGTTTTCCAAGGGGGGAGCAAGTGCCTCGCCTTGCCCCCCCCCCCCCCCTCGCGACGCCCATGACGGCTACGACGAGCATTTTTGGCGACCCGGTTGATTAAAAAACATTATTTTCAACATCTTTAAGACGAGTGCATTTTGAAAACCCCTTAATGAATCCCAACCCAACCCGAGCTTGTTTTAACAGTGCTCGACTGTACATTGAATAGAGACGGCTTGAAATACGTGCTCATGCCACAAAATGTCCGCCGGGGGGGGGGGGGGGGGGGCTTTTCTCAGGAACGGTAAGACATTAAGTAGTTTCCTTTCAACCAAATTAGCTTTGAAATAGGATAAGTAAACAATCACATACGATTATTGGGGATTTCAGGCCGTAATTCCCCTTGAACATGCATTGCATGGTACGACCTCTTGAAAGTACAATGTACATGTAATAACATATTTACCTGCTGCCAGCGCTAGTATTGATGTGAACATGACAATACTAGTGGAAAAAGAAGCGATGATCATAGAGACACCGAGCATGAAACCGCTGATAGTCACCACCGTGCGAGTACCAAACATGGCCTCAAGTGGTGTAGCAAGGAGACCTATTACAACACGAAAATGGTTGGTAATTTCTTTACGTGCTATTATGGGCCCATGTTTGTTTGCCTTTATCGGAACGAACTTTGGTGGGAATCTTAAAAGTAGGAAAATCGGGACATCCAACATCCCATCATTGTACAGACGCTGTACACTTCAAATTCGTTATCCGTGTGGACATTTTGATAAAAATGATGCATAATTTTGTGTATTTGTGCTGAATTAATAATTATGTGAACTACTCACTTAAAAGAGCTTCAGCAAAAAAAACAAAAACAAAACAAACAAAAAACACACACTAAAACAGTACTGTGGAGGTACAGGGTTGCCACTTCTTGTCTTGACAAACACTTATTTGAACCTTTGGTCTGATCAGGTTGTGCTGTATTGCTCTAAAACGACCATATCAGGCGCACCTATAAAGTGGCTCAGATGCGATAATTTCAAACCTTACCGGTAACGCATGAGACTGCATTAATGATGGCTATCATCCAGCCGACCAGCCAGGTTTGGGCCACGAATTGCTCTTGTAGTGTTGGTAACATCACTCCCAAAGCCTTGAGGACCCACGACCACAATACGAAGCTGACAAAGAAGCAGAGAACTGCGTACCAGCCCTGGTGGGAATGACCAGCTTGAACTCTGCCCATAATGAAGCCCCGCTGTCTGGTGTTCTAGTAGTTTTCGCCTTCGCTGTGTAGTTGCCTAAGCAAAACTAACCAACAAAAGATAAGCACAAATGACCATTCTATTTTCACTCTATGGGATTATTATAATTACAGGCGCATAACAATTCAAGGCCGGTGTCGTGCCGGTGTCGTGTCGTGTCGTGCCTTGCCTGTCGAGCTGTCATGGCGTCGTACAGCTTTCTTTTCACCGGAATTTGCTTATGCTTTTTACAATCTGTTTTAAAGTTTTCCTTATTACTTGTGCTTACTAAGAATTCGGAATTTTTTTTGACTAACTTTCCCTAATAGTTTAAACGTAAATTTGTCCAATTTTTCCTGTCCAATACATGTACTATCATTTTTCCCCCGATTCCTCATGCCAAATACTGTCCGATTCCTCCTGTCAAATTTGTCCGATTTCTCCTGCCAAATGCTGTCCGTTTTTTCCTGTCAAATACTGTCCGACTCCTGCCAAATACTGTTGGATTTTTCCTGTCAAATTTGTCCGATTTTTCCTGCCCATATACTGTCTGATTTTTCCTGCCAAATTCTGTCTGATTTTTCCTGCCAAATACAGTCCGATTCCTCCTGCCAAATACTGTCCGATTCTTCCTGTCAAATTTGTCCGATTTTCCTGCCAAATACTGTCTGATTTTTCCTGCCAAATACTGTCTGATTTTTCCTGCCAAATAGTGTCCGATTTTTCCTGGCAAATACCGTCCGATTTTTCCTGCCAAATACCGTCCGATTCCTCCAGCGTATAATACTGTCGGATTCCCCGAATACTGTCCGATTTTTCCTGCCAAATAGGCTACTATTTAAGGCTTCAAATTTGTACGATTTTTCCTGCCAAAATCTGTCCTATTTTTCCTGTCAGATTTCACAGATTTGTTCATCCAATAAGGGGCCATTCAGAATTTTCAATGTTTTAAAATTTCGATCTTTTTTCCAAATTGTGGGTGGGTGGGTCAAGCTACATAATTGAAAATCGAAATTCACTTTCCATGGAAAAAAGATTTTAAAAACAAAGAAAGATAGTTATTTCCTAATTCGCAGGCTCAAACGGAAATAAATTATTTCCTATTGCGCCTGTCATCCCTCGCTGTAACAAAACATGTTAAATACACATATATATGGGGAGCACGGTTCTTCGATGAGCAGCCGACGGAGTCCGTGAACTTACAACGTACTAACAATTTTTCTAACTCACCGTGAGTCTCGACCAACATCGATTATATAATAATCTGGGTACGTCGGGTTACTGTACACACAATGTGCCCTGGAAACAACAGTACCAAAATACAGAAAGTCGTACGCAAGAGCTCCCCAGCAAGTATCGCTGACGCCATTATGATTCCAAAATTTCTCACTGTGTCACACAGTGAAATAACTAAACAGCGTCGTTGTATTGTGAACTCATAAAAGCATTCAAGTCGCGTTCTTGCACACTTTCTGCAAGTCGACATACTAGATATCCTTGAACCACTGCCCCTGCTTTGCATAACAAGTGCACATGAATGAACGATTCGACTTTTATTCAAAGAAATTTCTATATACAGTCACCTGACTCTATTCAGTAAAGTCCCCGTCAAAACGAAAGTACACAATCCACGTGCATAACACACGGCTACACCATCGTACAGTGTGGCAGGGACACCAACAAGTAACACAACAACTAAATTTTTTTTTTAAAATTGATAAATATTCTGATTGAATTTCGTTAAAAGATACTTGTTGGTGAGGTATCACATATTCTAGCAAATTGATAAAAATGTACAATATTACAATATGCAATTTTGAGGGAAATGGGCAAAATACTGCATAAATAATTTCACTTGATCATATTCATAATACACAAACCGACAATTTTCATTTTCAGACCCACAACGAGAAATATTGTTAACACTGGGCTTATTGTGAGGAGTTGTGCTGGGAATCCACCAAAACATAAATTCCCATAGGCACCAAAGATAAATACCCCAATTTAAACAAATCGGGGAACATACTCTGAACCCTCACAGGTGATCAAAACATACATCAAATAAAAGCTGAATTAATCCTCTTTACCTTTTTGGAAATTTTTTTTTTTTTTGGGGGGGGGGGGGTTGACCTATGACTTTTAGGTGATTTTTCCCTCCAACGATGATCACCCCATCGCCATTTTGAAACAAAAACAAAAACAAACAGATTCCTTCCACTCCATATCAATATAGATTCCATTCAAATGTTTTGTTCAGAAATCTAAATTCAGGAACATGGACCCTTCACTTCTACAAATACAGACCCTCAAGTGCAGGGGCCAAAATTCTTTATTATTACAGATAAACTAGTATACATATCGTAATTTGGCCGGATTAGGTCGCGCCTATTTGGGCTGCCTCTCATTATGTACTGCGATCGGGAAATCTCCAGCGTAATAAAGACTTGAAGAAACTTTATTTGATTTATATGATTCAATTATTTTATTTTAAATTTTAAAACATAAAATAAAAGCTAAAAGTTGGACAGGCTGCCACGGATATGTAAAAGTAAAAAAAAACAATTGTCATCAGACATTTATCCAAACCCCTGCCAATAAAACAGATTTAAAATTCCATTCATAAAAATTAAAGTACTATTGAAAAGTAAATTGTACAAATCATACGAGACGAGACATGACGAGACATGACGAGACGAGACAAGACGGGGAGATGAGACAAGACTCAGCAAAAAAATCATAGAGTGAAACATTGGACAAGCCAGACAGATACAAAAATATAAAAACGAACTAATAAACAAATACTCTTACACCCCAACAAACAAACAAAAACAAACAACCAGACTCAATAACGGGAATGAATGACAAACGGGCTAAAAAGATTACTACAAACAAAACAAAACAAAACCGAGAAACAAAAGCAATCCCATTCCCCAGAAAGAAAAATGCAAACCATAAAAACAAACAACCTAGTTGACATACATACGTCTACACTCACATTAAATACACACACTAAAGAAACAACAAGAAAATACCCGGGAACAAAATGAAATGACACAATTTTACATTGACGATAAAATAAATATGACTACATAATTCCTCCCTCAGTTTTAAAAGAAAAGATTCACAACCTTCCATAGTTAAAACTTTTTCTAATTTTAACACGGTGACTTCGGAGAACATCAATGAGGCAATTGAATAGTTCTCTTATCTTGTAATCCATGTGTCTATCAGTTCTAAGTTTCAAGTGGTGAAACGTTAAAGGCTGTGCGACGGAGCTGCCCTGCAATTCATTCCTGAAATTATTGTTGCATTCCCTATTAGTTCATTAACTTTATATTAGAATCAACATTATTATCTATGATAACGAATTTGGCGGGAAACAGAGCTTTCACTCAGTGACTTTACTGGTTTATTTAACTTCATGGGGATTCCTCCAACGTCAGGCTTTTCCTTGGTTTCAACAACGGTGTCGGAGTCTCACAACACTAACTGGGGAACCAAGTATGCCAAAGATTCTAGCTGAACCGAGTGGGCACGGTACGAGCTTTCGCTTCGCAGAGACGGCCGGACTGAAGCGGGAGCGGACCGCTACAGTCAGTGACGGGGAAGCAACAGCTGGACGGAGCCAGCGAGTGTACCGGATCAAACTATAGTTCGAGCCATGGTGTGCATGGTCAACCGGGGCCAGTGGCGTAGCCAGGAATTTTTCAGTGGGTGGGTGGGTGGGTGGGGGGGGGGGGGGGGGGGGCTGGGGGGGGGGGCTGGAACATTTCATGGGGGGCGTCATGTAGATCAATGATAATTTTTTAGGGGCGACTGGGGGGGGGGGCGACAAGGTTTCATGGGGGGGCTGAAACATTTCATGGGGGGGGCGTCATGTAGATTAATGATAATTTTTTAGAGGCGACTGGGGGGGGGGGGCGACAAGGTTTCATGGGGGGCTGTCGCCCCCCCCCCCACGCCCCCCGTGGCGACGCCACTGTGTACTGTACATGTGCGTCATGTAGGCCTACGTGTATCCAATCGCTGTAAAAACTGGACTATTCAACCACTGGACTCCAAGACTACGAGGACCGCAGCCTAGCTGTGATGTGATGTCTGCCCAAACCTGATGTTTTCTTACAGTCGTACCCCCCGCCCTGCAAACAAGGCGGGGGGGGGGGGGGGTACGAGCGAATGTTTTTCTCAGCTACCTCACGTGACAGGCACAACCTCGTATGTCACATGTCATCCACCTCATCCAGAAAACGACAAAACCACGGTCATCTTTGTGGCTTCCAAAACTGCAACCTGTCATTCCGAACAGCATATCAGCTGGAAAAACACAAGAAAACTGAAGGTCACCAGTGCAAAAGAGGAAGACCGACAACTTCACGCCGTCACTGAACTAGACACACATGTACATGGTGTTCAAGTACATGTACATGTACATGCAAGTGCATGTACATGTACATGTTCAGTTTTTTATTAATCGAAATTAGGGGTGGGTGGGTGGGTCAAAATAATTTGGAAAAACAGTCGAAATTTTAAAACATTGAAAATTCTGAATGGCCCTTAAGTTGTTCGTACATACGTGCATGCACCCTATGCTCGAGGGCACCGGACACAATAATTTGGCACGTACTTACGTGCCAAATAGAGTCTTGTGCCTACTGCGCATGCTCAGCGGACACTATTTTGCACCGGACGGTTTTTGGCACGATCGACACCGGTCTTGAGATATCACGAAAATCTCATCTATTATCCTTTGAGGAAACTGTACTTTAATGCAGTCTTGATTGCTTTTGTAAATAGTTATTTAGCAATGTATCCTTTATCCCTTTACTAGACGGTTTAAGTGATCTTTACGTATTTTCTTTGATTGTTTGTCTTATTTTCAAGATGCCACTGGCATTTGAGTTTTGATTAATTCATCCTAGTTATTCTTTTTAATGCCTCTTATTGTGTTCCTTTAATATAGATTTCCCGCTCAGTTTAAAGCGATAATGGAAACTTTCTGTTGTGAACTGTATTTAATTGTGATCTCTATATGGTCACCCTGTGCGGACACTGTGATTACTATATGGTCACACTGTGCGGACACTGTGATCACTATATGGTCACCCTGTGCGGACACTGTGATCACTATATGGTCACACTGTGTGGACACTGTGATCACTATATGGTCACCCTGTGCGGACACTGTGATCACTATATGGTCACACTGTGTGGACACTGTGATCACTATATGGTCACACTGTGTGGACACTGTGATCACTATATGGTCACACTGTGTGGATCGACACTGTGATCACTATATGGTCACAGTGTGGACACTGTGATCACTATATGGACACACTGTGCAGACACTGTGATCACTATATGGTCACACTGTGTGGACACTGTGCTCTATATGGCCACCCTGTGCGGACACTATGATCACTATATGGTCACACTGTGTGGACACTGTGATCACTATATGGTCACACTGTGCGGACACTGTGATCACTATATGGTCACACTGTGTGGACACTGTGATCACTATATGGTCACACTGTGCGGACACTATGATCACTATATGGTCACACTGTGTGGACACTGTGATCACTATATGGTCACACTGTGCGGACACGGTGATCACTATATGGTCACACTGTGCGGACACTGTGATCACTATATGGTCACTCGGTGCGGACACTGTGATCACTATATGGTCACACTGTGTGGACACTGTGATCACTATATGGTCACACTGTGCGGACACTGTGATCACTATATGGACACACTGTGCAGACACTGTGATCACTATATGGTCACACTGTGGGGACACTGTGATCACTATATGGTCACACTGTGCGGACACTGTGATCACTATATGGCCACCCTGTGCGGACACTGTGATCACTATATGGTCACACTGTGCAGACACTGTGATCTCTATATTGTCACACAGTGTGGACACTGTGATCACTATATGGTCACTCGGTGCGGACACTGTGATCACTATATGGTCACACTGTGCAGACACTGTAATCTCTATATTGTCACACAGTGTGGACACTGTGATCTCTATATGGTCACATAGTGTGCACACAGTGTGAACACTGTGAAAACTCTGTGTTCACACTGTCATGACACTATGAATTTGTTCCAAATTCACAGTGTCGCACACAGAGAACACAGTGTGATCACAGTGTGACCACTGAGTGGTATACACCGTATGGACACTATGTGAACACACTGTGTTCACACTGTCATGACACTATGAATTTGTTCCAAATTCACAGTGTCGCACACAGAGAACACAGTGTGATCACAGTGTGACCACTGAGTGGTATACACCGTATGGACACTATGTGAACACACTGTGTTCACACTGTCATGACACTATGAATTTGTTCCAAATTCACAGTGTCGCACACAGAGAACACAGTGTGATCACAGTGTGACCACTGAGTGGTATACACCGTATGGACACTATGTGAACACACTGTGTTCACACTGTCATGACACTATGAATTTGTTCCAAATTCACTGTGTCGCACACAGAGAACACAGTGTGATCACAGTGTGACCACTGAGTGGTATACACCGTATGGACACTATGTGAACACACTGTGTTCACACTGTCATGACACTATGAATTTGTTCCAAATTCACAGTGTCACACACAGAGAACACAGTGTGATCACAGTGTGACCATACTGTGTATACACTGTATGGACACTATGTGAACACACTGTGTTCACACAGAAGTTCCACACTGTGGTGACTGGGGGGAATTTTCCTAAGGGTGGGTCCCAGGGGACCATAACATTAACGGGTTCAAAAACAACCCAGATCCAGGTCGCCAGAACGCAACCCGGATCTGCGTCGCCTGAACACAACCCTGATCCGGGTCGCCCAGATGCAGCCCGGATCCAGGTCGCCTGAACACAACCCAGAACTGGGATGTTCGGGAGGAGGTTCAAATTACAGGTGATCGGAAAACGACCCAGTTTTGACAGGGAGGTTCAAATTACAGTTGACCCGGAAAACAGGTCAGTTTGGACCGGTAGGAGGTTCAAATTACAGGTGATCCGGAAAACGGGTCAGTTTTGCTCGGGAAGAGCTTCAACCTTTGTTTGCAATTACTCGAGACGATGGTCTTCATTACAAACAAAAACAGAGCAAAGCTTACCGAATTAGCATCCATAGCAGCTTGCAGTGTAATTTCAGAATATTAACTGTAAAAGTACTTTTTGGAGTAATGCTATTACCGTTATCACATATTTATTTCCTTTTCGGTCAAAAAAAAAATCCAAACTTTTCTGTGAAAAAAAAAACGATTCTATTCAACAAGTTCACTTCATGTTTTTTGAAACACCACTCTAGCTAAATAATGGAGTATCCAGCTCGCGAATAAGATATCACTCCTTTTTATGGAGATTGGCCTCCCTCGAAAAGTAGTGGATACAATGAAAATAATGATGCATTAGGACAGAGAGGCACAATGATTACGTTTACTGTAGGATTTATTTAACTAATCGCAAAACAATGGCTTGAGTTAGCCATGTTTATTTTGGAATACTTCAATATGTTCGAAATGCACACATTATCACAAGATGCACACTTAAAAGGTACAGAGAATTTTTTTTAGAAAAGTTCGCACAAAGTGTTTTTTTTTTCTCTTCAAAATTGGTAACATTTACAATGAAATTATTTAAAAATCCCTGATGTTTCTAAAAAAAAACCACTTGGTATTTCTCTACTTTCTATTATGTACACTGAATTTCTTTTAATAAACAGTACATATCGATTTCAGAAAAAGACGAAAATCTGGTCTATTAAAAATTCCAGTCTGTACTGTAAAAAATATTTTACAAATATTTACACGAATGTACTGAGCCACAAAAAACACTGTACATTTCTGCTTTGTGCAATATACGAGGGAATTATTAAAAACAATCTTTGTACATTTCTTAAATAAATGTAAGTTTACAACAGGGTTAAAACAAACTTTGGAAAAGTTACAAAAATTCTAGTTGGTCCACTGGCTGTTCTAAACACGATATAACAGTAATTAAAACATACAAGAGAGAGGGAAATAGATTAAAAACAAATGAGTGTAGTTTTATAACAAATAAGCGGTGATTAAGTTCAACTTATCTCAGAACTTTCTGAAAACCTGTCCAGTCCATTATGCAAACTGCATATAAAATCATGCCTGAATTTGAGATGTATACCAGTACAATCACTGAATTGGAAATCAAAATAAAAAAAATAGCTTAACATCCACTTTCGTAGTATGGTACACTGAATCTTTTTTCTATTTTGGTGCCTTTTTTGATTGCGCAATATACCAAAGTTTTATCAAAGTAGGCAAACACATGACATAAAGGAAGCCACACAAACACACACCTGAAATCCAAAAGAAATGACACGCACAAAAAAGTACAGCATACTACAAAAAACCTCTTTAAATGATCCCAGCCACAAGCTTAATTCAAAACATGTTCTCAGTGGCTCTTTGGAATGTTTTATCCTTCTTCTTTCAAATTCAATAAAATCAACTCAACATTTCTTTGATCATTGTAGCCAGAAAATAGTTTGATCTCTTTACACTTTGCACTCCGCCATAGTGCAGCATCATAGCAGCAAACTTGTAAATCAGCAAAAACATTGAACAATTGTTGACTGCTGTGATGTGGGATATGACGTTCTTAACACCCGAGGGGCGCATTCGCCTCGGGTGCTGTACGCCCCGAGGGTGTTAAAAACGTTATGCTTATATCGTGCCAATAACTTAAAAAGATAAATGGTTGTAATACTGTGTGAGAAATAAACTAAATCACTGTGATGTAACCTTTGATGACTAATGGTTTTGATGTCCTGCCGGACACGAGACTGAGCGTTTGACATTGAACTTCTCACTGCGCAAAGCTACAGTGGGCCGGCAGGTTCCACACGTGCGCCCAACGCGCGCAATGAACGCAGTGCGATATCACCCTCGGTGTGTGACATACATGTACCTTTATTTTGTCCAGACACGTGGCCGTCCTAGACCAATGAAATTACAGTAATCCAAGCACACGATATAGCAACTCATATTCTTGGCTGACCTAACCCTGCTAAATACAACAGGTGAAAGCAACAATGGATAAAAGCTGTTGTTGCGTTTATCAGTCAAGTCCTGTGTTGTGTTGCATCTTGCTGCATTTAGCATGGTTACTTGGTAGCTGCTCAAAGTGCCAAGGCTGATACAACAGAATCCACTGTCACAGTTTGTTGCATGGAGCATGGTAACTGTTTAGTGCCAAGGCGGGTGTTTACTGGGTTCAATCATGCAACGGAATGTACTGCATACAGGGTGAGGGGCCAGGGTTCGGGTGAGGTTGTGGGGGCGGGGGTTGGGTGAGGTTGCGGGGAATTTGCGGTTTGTTTATGCATTCAATAGGGGACGTTGAACAGTAGAGGACAATAGGGTCCCCACTTCCCAAAGGTCTACAATTGACGATCGCGTACAAAACATATGGAAGGTCTACCTAAAAAGTACAAACAAAAGAGGGACAATAGGGGGTCCTCGATTGAAGTTGTTTACAACATTTGATCATGATGGTGTGGGTTGATGGGGGTTTGAGTGGGGTGGGGTAGGTAGAGGGAGCTGGTTTAAGAAGGTATTATAATCTTCAGACAAGAGAATAAAAAAACACAAACCACAAACATGCAGACACTTATTAAAACAAAGCTGCTGACAGTATAAAACTAAAACTACTCAGTTTCCCTTGAATTTCTCCATTTGAGGAATCTAATTGACCCTACTACTGTTCACACTCCTAAGAAACCTGTGTAGTATTGTCCTACTTCTAAAAATACCTGAGGTTTGTTGTAGAAAGAACAATGAAACTGTCAAAATCGCTGCCAAAATGGAACAGAATTTTCTAACACTCGTTATTCAACGGTCATCCGCAGTGCTAACAACTCAACAAGACTAAGCTTGCCTAGTCAAGCTGGATCCGATAGTCTCAGTTGAGGTCATTATTTATACTCAAGTGACTTAGCGAGTCAGTCAGGGACTCAGTGAGTCACTCTCAGTAAGTCGCTCAGTGACTCAGTCTAGCAAACATTCGGGTCCAGCAAAAACATTGTGCCCTTTAGCATATCTTGGTTAAGCACACAAACACAATGCAATTCATGCACAATTTCAGGACTGTGTTAGGAATGAAGTTAGGAGCCCAACCATGATTCAGTATTTGATATCACTTACTACCATTTTTCCCCTTGCAACTGTAGATGAAAGGCAATATTCGTAAGGATTCAAGGGCCTCTAGTCTACTGTTTAAACCCTGTGGCTTTTTTTTTTTTGGGGGGGGGGAGGTTCAATTCTTTTCTCTGTTTTTTAGAAGCAGCAGCAATAATGGGTTTTGAGAAAGTTAGGTTGGGATTACTGTGTCATGTCAATAAATGGGCCAAATCCAGACCACTGTGTAGACCAGATGCGTAAAAAGATATAAAGTAAATAGCCGCTCTGAATCAATGCAATAACCTTGAGGTTATCTGTAAATAAAAAGTGGTTTAAAAACAGGGATGTAAGTGACAGTTTTGCCTGAACTTTGAGGTAAACAGGTATACATGTACACCCATGTATGGTGCCTGTATGTTATTTACAATTTGAAGAAAAAAAAACACAACTGAAATCAGGCAACTGCAGAAGGACTTACATCCCTGTAAAAATGGTTGTACATAAAAAGTAGTTATACTGTCCTGATGTGGCGCTTACTTCCCCCAGAAGTCGTCGCGTCTCTTGCGCGCCCTCTCCAGTACCTCAGAGGCAAGTGAGGAACTCGAGGCATTGGACATGATGGATAGAGACAACTCATCGCTGTCACGGAGTGGCAACGTCCACTGTGGGCTGTCCGGCATCATCTTGCCCCTGGGCAGGTCTGTAGGGACCGTCCAGGCTTCGTTTCGCTTCCTCTGGGCGTCTGCGTTGTCCCTTTCTGAGCGGTGATTGTTGAGGTTTCGTGTTGCGGTCTCGGGTTGATTATTGGCCTCAGCCTCTTGCCTGGACTGTGGGTGAGCTGTCATTGGCCGGCCGTACATGCTGCCTGAGTTTGGCCTATCCAATGGCCCTGTGAATTCCAAAATAGGATTAAATCTATTGTTGGATACACAGCATCAAAAAAGCATGTTGTGGGACACAGAGGATAAAAAAAATCAGCTTGTTCCATCGCACACAAAATTCCAGAAGCCCATACATTTTTAGACAGATACTAAGACCCTTATTACGAAACGCAGACTAGTGACACACATTCTCACTATGAGACGGCAAACTCTGCCGTGTACAGACGCTTTATAATTTTAAACTCAAGGGATCTGTCTGTTTACCTTTGACCCCTGGAGCTTGTAATGGCCCCTGCCTGTTACCATTCATCTGAGTCTGGGTACCAGATGCCACTGTCCTCACAGTCTCTCCATTCTGCTCAGCGTCCCTTGAAGTCAGCCCGCGTGGGTCGCCATGCTGGGGGGCTGCCCAGGTTCGCGGGGGTTCAATCCTCCTGGGAAGGACTGGCATGGCCTGGCTGGTCTCAAAGTAGTTGTTAGAATGCCGCTGGAAGGGAGGTGGGTTGGATGTGCTCTCCCGAATGGGGTCTGGGTCTGTGGTGGTCACTCCTGCAGTGGGAGATCCTTGAAGCTGGTTCAGAATCTACAATTTCAAAAAAAAAACAATGAACCTCAACTCCTCGGAAATTTGTAAATTCCAAAATGCTGCACTGTGTACATGTATGTTCTTTTGAACTGTTACTTTTCAGGGGCATGTTAAATAATAGTGGCTGGGCTCTCCCTTCTTCAGTCCTGCAAAATCCTCCTCTGTGCAGAAACCCAGTGGAAGCCTCTTTATATCTACGAAGTTTCAAGGGGCATCAAGCCCCATGTAAAGCAACAGTCGCCGGGATCCACCTTCCTCAGTCCTACAAAATCCTCCTCTGTGCAGAAACCCAGTGGCATACCCTTTGTATCTACCAACTTTCAAGGGGCATCAAGCCCCATGTAAAGTAACAGTGGCTGGGATTCACCTTCCTCAATCCTACAAAATCCTCCAAAACCTCCGTGTGGAACGTGACACCTACCCTTGTTTTCATGTCCAGTTGGGGTGGTGGTGTTGACACCCTTGGAGTACTGGACCGTTCATCTTCTGAATCCTCATCACTATCATAGGCAAAGCCGTGGGTTATTGTACCGGGAATGATGTTCCTGCGTTGATCTGGGAAATAAGACGAGAGACAATAAAATATTAGCAAATTGGAAGTTCACTGTCAAAAACTTTGACACGTGGTATCAGTTCAACACTTATATAAGGGACTTAGTGTACACTGTGTATGTGTACTAGTTAACAATTGTTGACTGCTGTGATGTGGGATATGACGGGTTTTTTTAAACCCGAGGGGCGCATAGCACCCGAGGCGAAGCTGAGTGTGCTATGCGCCCCGAGGGGGTTAAAAACGGCATATCCCACATCACGGCAGCCAACAATTGTTTTATTATATCGTGCCAATAACTCAAAAAGACAAATGCTTGTGACTAACCATAGAGCAAGGACCCAAGGAGTCAGAACTCTTGGGCGATTTACATTTTGACCATTAACATACCAATCCCTCGGGAATGTCTATAGCTACAGCACTGTGACCGCAAGCCTCGACCATTCAAAGCGTGAATGCCAGCGGCCTTTGAACACGATGATCGTCGCCGCCTCTTTAGTTGGTAACCAACAACCTCCCTATATGCTGCATAATAAGTCATGTCACATCAGTGCTCTTTTTTGAAAAATATATTTTACGACAAGATAGGTTTTTACAACTGCGCAGTTGTTAGATGTGAGTTATGAACTCAAGTTAGCAATGTGCAGTTGTTGGTGCTTAAAAGCGTTATCTGTCCCTGTAATTTGGAGATAAATTGGATTTCTTTCAGATAAGTTTTCTTGTATTTTCAGACATTTTAATTGGCTATATATCATTGATGAAATGTGTTTTTTTGGAAAATTTCACAAGTTTTCACACTAAAGGTACAGAGCATTTTGTTCTTCATGAAATGATTGTTTCAGTGATGTTGACCACATTGTTAGCCAGTATTAGCCATCTCCGAACAAACACTTCAAAATCATTCATTTTTAGCGATGTATGACAACTGCGCATGCGTACTGTCTACGAAGCCATGCAAACTCCTTTTTTTGGCATTAGTGAGCGCGGATCTCTATTGTGTCGAGATTAGCGTAGTGAGCAACTGAGCAAGCTGGCCGCCAGGTGCTTTCTATTGTAGCTTTCGAGCGCAGCGACCATCATTTTACTTTTGAAGTCTTGGAGTACGAACTCCTTGGGTCCTTGCTCTATGGACTAACTGAGTGAGAAATAAATTGAATCACTGCGATGTAACCTTTGATAACTGAAGGTTTGATGTCCTGCCGGACATGAGACTGAGCGTTTGTCGTTGCAGTTCTCATTATGCAAAGCTATAGCGTGCTGGTAGGTTCCACACGCGCGCAATGAACACAGTGTAATATCAAACCGAATGTGTGATGTGCGTTTTCATTGACCAGACACGTGACCGTCCTAGACCAAAGAAACTACAGTATCCAAGCACACGGTATAACAATATACAAATAACGAATTTTGTGAGTGCGATGGTAAGAATAATTTCGTGAGGTGACAGATTGAATGTTCTATTCCACGAGGCGAAGCCGAGTGGAATAGAACATTCAATCTGTCACCGAATGAAATTATTCTTTCCATCGCACGAACGTAAAACATTCGTTATTTGTTTTATACAACACCTGAATAAATTCTCGTCATTTGATTGGTAAATTATAAACTACAATTTATTTTGATTTTAAAGATGTTGAACTACCCCTTCATGAAAATGTTTGAACCCAACGCTGTAGCGCTGGCTCTTTGGAACAATACGCGCTACGCTGAACGCGCACACCAGCATGCATTTTGCACGCAAATACCGCGTCATGGAACAAGCGCAAAGTGAAACGGTATAACGCATGGGTATAACGCATGGTCGCACCGTGCATTATACTGAATAATAATATGTCACGTGATCTACAATTCACCAATCAGATGACGGGGATTTATTCAGGTGTTGTATACTATGAATTATCCCATGAATGTGATTTGTATAATTTATCTTGAACTAAACTTGATGAACAGCAAGATGTGGCCACTTTTTTTTATCTGTTATTCCATTACAAGTGTGTTGCAACAGGAAAACGTGCACATATTTTCGTAAAATACCTTGCACTCCAGGATTATACCACACTTTTGTTGCCATGGATCACCTAACCAGCACCCGATTTCATCAAACTCTTCGTAACTTATGATGCATCGCAGTGATGCGACGCGTCGTATCTCTACGATGCGTCGCAGCTGCGACGCGTCCTGCGATCCATTTCACAAAACACGTCGTAAGTGCGACGCGTCGTAGGTGTATTTATAGCACAACTCGGTGACTGTTTTATGTATTTAGTCAGCGTACAGTAAATAGTCGTCTGATATTCAACAAAGAGTCGTCGGATCTCAGCTCGAAATTTGTTAAAACGTAAAACAAAATGGCGGCCGTGCGATGCAATTTTGAAGGAAAACAAACTCACATTGGACTGTATAGCTACTTTGAAATTTCAATTCTTATATTCCGGTCTAATTCATAATTATTCAATGAATTTTCTATTTACAACTTTACACACATTGCCTCGGTATTATAATCTCGTTAATGTAATGTTTATGGCATAAAACTGGCTTAGAAATGACTCTTCTTATTTTGCGACGACCACAAGACACGTCTTAACTTGCGACGTGTTTTAAGCCGTTGTCAAGGAACTTACGACGCGTCCAACACATCGCAACTTTCGTGAAATGGAAGATACGACGCGTCGCGAGTTGCGACGTGTTACACGTCGCAACTCGAGTTGCGACGCGTCGCAGCGCTTCGTGAAATCGGGTGCAGGTTTGAGGATTCCATTTTGTTTAAAGCTAAAACACTGCATGCCAATCACATAGTCATAGATCCTACATTGACTGTAATGTTGCGTATTATATCACCGCCAAGTGTAAGGAATCATGTGTTCTCACCCGGTGCTGATGTCTTTGCTGCAGCAGGTTGCGTCTTACTAGTAACAGGTGCCGGTATTGGAGGGGACAGGGATCTATGCTTTGGCTGAGGCGACGTTAAAATAGCACCTCCTGGATAAAATATATCAAATATTCATGTTAAACATGTTCCATGTAGTTTATTAAAGCGAAATACAAGAAAAAGTTAGTTTTTTGAGGTGAGAAAACAAAACATCTTTTTTTAAAAGGATGCGGCTTCAAAAAAGGATGCGGGCGGCGACGATCAACTGTTGTTTTTTACGTGGCCTAATGTGGAACAAGTGTTCATCTGAAAGCATGTAAAACCAAAGCAATTTTGCAACAACAGCAATGGCATTTGAGTGTGTTTTATCTCCCTCTACATCACCGTTGACGGGGTACTTGTCCATGAAGTCCATAATCAACCATGACTTGGTCTGACTAGGCAGAAGCCATTTCTTGACTCTTTATCCCGAAGTTTTATTTTGTTTCTAAGCACTTCCAACTTAAGTTTGTACTGAGTCTCAGTTTAAAATAATAAAAAAACATGCAACATTTCTTGAGGTTGACACTGTAATTGATAATATTGACCAGTTTTTTTTTTCAGGTTCAGTACAGCAGTCTTCAAGAGATTATTTTTATGTAATATATAACAAAAATTCTGGAAAATAACAGGCATGCAACTTGGAATTTAGAAAAAAAAACCGAGGAAATTCCAAACCACACAAGACTTTGTGCAGTATTTTTCAATTTGTAATGGCATTTGTGATGAGAAGCAAAATACGAGGAAATCAGTGGATCCGAGGAAAAGTTGTGTGCCTGAAGATTAATAAGCTCCTGCTGGGGCCACACTAGTATAGCTGCTCAGACAGTTGCTGAAATAAAATAAACTTTGCTCAGGAAAAACTACATGTGCTATACGTGTAGGTACTTGTGCTATTAAAATGTCCATCTAAAAAGCAGAGTATTTGACCTGTGGCAGGGGTGGTACGGTCCAGGTGATGGCGTTTAGACAGCCCCTCCTCCCGCAACCTTGGTGTAGGCAGCCTCCCCTGCTCCTCAATGGTATCAACCTCGTCTGAGCTGGGGGTCACTGACCCCTTATAGCCTTCTGGTGTTGGAATACTGCCAATGCTGCACAGGAAGAAAATATTATCAAATGAGATTTTGCACAGCGGTGAATACAACTTTGCGGCTCCACTATCTGAAGAGAATACTTTTAACAAGAGATTTGGTTCGGAGAAGAACCAGAGGTTTTACTTTACTTTGCAATCAGTGGACCCCGACTGTCATCAGATAAAAATCACTTTCTCTTCTTGAGTAAGTGGTATCTCTGTAAACTTTTCCAAAACTTTTCCAAAACAGTAATTCACTCACTGTGGGTTACAAATTCAGATTTTACCCTCCCAAGGGAAAATCCAAAGCAACATAGATTTTACTTTTAAGACAGATATTTGAAATATATTCTTCCACAGTATTTCACAAATACACACTCAATGCAATATTAATGGTGTGCATTTACGGGTAGTACGGGAACCCGGTACCCTATTTAAGTATAACACGGATACCCAGGTATCCGTAAAAGAAACCCAAGCCCCAAAACTCAAATCTTAGAAGTTGTCTAAAGGGCTTTTTAGGTTTACAGTGTAAACTGCAACTTTAGCGAACGTCATCTGTTGCATGTTAAAAAGCACATAAATATTAAATGTGTTCTGATTTTCAATGTAGCCTGGTTTTCATTTTGAAAATTCCCACAAATGGCTTTCAAAACCTTTCTTTTTCATTGTCTGAGAAGTTACTAAGTAATTTGTGAAGTTGCTTACTGGTACCCGATCCCATAACCTTGAACCGGTTCCAGACATCAGCGGTCGGGTACCTGGTTCCGATGCACAACGCAATACGGAATATGAACTCGTATTCCAAGCAGGAACAGCACATGGCATCATGTGGCCTACTTCAGTTACAAGTTCATTCAACGGGCACTATAAACCAATTGCAAGATGTCCTTGATTTAAATGTCACCCAATTTAACCTTTGAAGATTTTTTTGGAACTGAGCACGCAGTTAAAAAAAATGCAAGCTTAGCTATTGGCATATATGCCAATAGCTAAGATATATTCTGAATTCCACACTAATGTTTGTGTTTACCTTGACTCAAGATCACCGTTATCTAAGGGTTGTGGTCCTCCATTTTTCCCTTCCCCATTGCTGTCCTGTGGCCAGGCCAGGCGTCTGTTAACTGGTGGAGAACCCTCCGGCCTACTCACTGGCGCTGGTTTACTGTCTTGGTTTCTAGAAATGAATATCATTTGATCAGACCATTTGCAAACCAACTATTTAAGCCTCATGAAGCACTTCCAAGGATTTACTTATCCACATTTGCCAATGCAGTTGGTATGAGTAGCTGAATTGGTAAAAATTTTACCATATGCTCCATCAGTAGGCCCTATGTCTTAGAGCCAATTTTTGTTTGTGTTTACGGTAATGCTCTAAAACTTACGTAGATTGCTGAAAGGCAAAACCCTCCCTCCCTGACGCTAAATTTATTCTTATACACAGCTTGGCAAGGTTGGTGTTTGAGTGGTAAGACGTCTGCACTAGTAGGCAGATGGTCGTGGGTTCCAGTGCCACCCGAGAAAGGTTGTGCATTTGTTCTTGCCAGTCCTCCATCAACACCGAGTATACAGTGTTTATAAAAAATACGACGGTGAAGGGCAAAACCAAATATTAGAAATGTTTTGTCATTCATGTCAGTGTAATGTATAATGGGGTGTGTGACATCAATTGTCACATAGTAGCTTTTCTGTATTGTGCCTTGCTCACACTGTCATGCTTCTTCCTTTTAGAGTGGCATTCAGTGTCATGCCAAACAAAATTATTCTAAAGCAGTGGCACACCCAAGGCCCCCCCCCCAGAAGGTTGTAAATTGTTGGTTTTTTGTTTTGTTAATTTTTTGTTTTTAGTCCCATGATTGGACCATGGTGATATGTATGTGGCCTATTTTCAAGTAGTATAATAGGGGTGTAATTAGCACTTTGTTATTTGGCGCGACACTGGAACGTTTAGTCGGAAACAAGTGTTACATTCTTACCGATCTTTCAACCCTGTGTCAACAGAGGGCGCCGAGAGTGAACTGATGGTGCTGGTGGCTGTGCTGCTCTCGTCCCATAGACGGGCCTGATTGGCTAGAATCTGGGCCAGGTGTTGCCGAGAGAAGTGGGTTCCCTGAGCCCTCTGCCGGTAGTCTGCTGCCTTCTGACGAAGCTCTAAGACCTGTGGGAGCCAAAAACACACAAGGTTATATTCCTCATTTCGAGCCGTGAATTGGAACTTAAAAAGCATTTGGATTATTTGCATTTATCCCAGAAGTAAAATACCAAATTATTATCAAAAGGCTTTACTTGGATTAAGTACCAGCTTCAATAACGCACCTGTACTGAATACAAACGCAGATATGCAAATAGCCGTACAAAAGCCGTACACAATTTCGAGTTTTCCATAGGGTTGTACACAAACATGGATTCGTCCAGCAGGCATCACTTTGTACATCGAGTCAGCGCTCTAGTACATGTAATTTAATATAGCTCCATCACTTTGAGCCACACACGTGCAAACCAGTACATGCATAAAATGTGTCCCAAACACTGAAGCTCCAATGAGGTCATAAAGCGCCATATACTCTTTCTGCAGGGAATCCATAGTGTGTGGGCTTAAATGGCCTGAATTCTCAGAATATTGGGTGATTTGGGGGCGATTGGGTGTTAATCCATTCAAACCAAGCCAGCATTTCCCACCTCAGCAAACCAATTGGGCCTGGCTTCTCGTCTGTCGATGGAGCTGTCGTCTCTTGGCACGATGTGTGGAGGGTCCGCCCCTTTCCATATCCCGTTCTCATACTGATATATGTCAGGCTCTTTAAAGTTGGATGCATACTCCGATTTCCATTTCCTAAAAGGGAGATGAAATCATCATTCTCAACTAGTAGAGGCAATGCATTGATTCATCCTAACCTTCTTTGATCACTGCAAAATCCTTCAAGAAGTTTTTGAGGATTTACAGAATTGTGGAAGGTAGAGCCCAGATAGTATTACTTTAACCCTAACCCTTGAGCCCTTTTATTAGAAAGTATACTGAATCCGCCAAAATCCACAAATTTTATCATGCAAAAAAATGTTGGTAGCCAAGGAGTTAAACTGTAGAGATCCTGAATCCATCAAAGTCCCCCATCTGCTTAATATGGAGGTATCCTGAATCCATCAAAATCCAGCAAATACTGCTAGGCTTTCTGTCCTGAATCCATCAAAATCCCCCAACTTTTTCAATATGGAGGTATCCCGAATCCGCCAAAATCCTCCAAAACAGGGGTGTGGATTTTCATGGATTCAGGTACGTTAGGGTTTAATTGCACTTCAATGATGTCATTGGAGAGTACAAGCAATGTGTCTAGTACATTAAATTGGACCCTTAACTCTATGCATCTACACCAAAAGATAAAAAAGCACTGGTTTGGCTGCGTGGCCATTTGAATGAGGGACCACTGATTTTGTTCTTGACCCTAACCTTCCTCAATCCTCCAAAGTCCTCCGGGTGGCTTTTGAGGATTTTAGAGGATTGAGGATAAACGAAACATACAATTTTGGAAGATTGTGGAGGTTTGAGGGCACTGGACATTCAGTATTGGTTGATTGTGGAGGATTGGGGATGAATGGTGTTTGAAGAAGAGGTGGATTTTGGAGGATTGTAAGCTGAATGTATTTTGAGAGGCAGGGCTATTGGACGATGTTGAAGGATTAAAGCAGTGGGTGTCCTTCATTTGAACATACATGTAAGTTCAACATTTTGGAAGATTTTGGAGGATTGAGGATGGTTCCTACCAAAAAGGGCCTAGGGGGTTTAATAGAGTTAAACAAGTTTTATCCTCTTGTACATACATTTCTACGCTGTCAAGATGAGTCTTGGATGCAGGTTACATGATAATTAACGGAACTGTTTTATGACCTCAACAATTGGTCCCTCAAAAGTGCTCAGGAAGGGTGAAGCAAAGGGTGAAAATTTGATTGAACATCAAACATTTTCTGACACTGTGCCATAGTTGTCTGGACAAAAGTGAACAAATGCAGTGAATGTTTTACTATCAAATACACTCTGCAATAGATTGCGGTTTTCCATTCTGCGAAAGAGTTCATTTCCATTCTGCTCAATAAGAAACGATTTTGCTTGAAATCTTCGTCCTCACCTTATGGTTGTGGAATGTGGAAAGAATGGCTTGGTTGGGTTCTCGGCCGATTTCAGTAATTTGAGGTCGTCGTGTGCATACACTGATGGGACGCCAGCCGGTCGCATCTTATCCGGTGTTAGACTGGAGCGTTTGGACTTCTTGCTCTGAGGGGAAAAACAAAATCATAGAAACTAAAGGGGTAACAAAACTTTATTATTCTCTCAAATGTCAAACCTCTAAGGGGAGTTGAATTTAATTCTGACGGAATAGCCTGATCTTTAGATTTTCCTGTACAATGTATGTGAGATAAGGGAAGAAACATCATGTGATCTCTTTGCAATAAGGACAACCCATGTCAGAATTGTCCATAAATCTCTACTCTTTAACATGAAGGTAACAACAGTAGGCCATGGCAGCAGGAATGGATTTTTGATAGAACTGTTGTCAAATCCAAATATAATCACAAATCAAACTACCAGTCAAGTCACAAGTCCATCACCAGTCAAATCATATGTCAATTAGACAATTTCAAGTCCATCACCTTGCAAAAAACGAGTCAATGACAAACCCACAAGACAAATACACAAAGTCAATCAAACAACCGTCACCAGTTAAATCACAAGTCAAATCATAAGAAAAATTAGAAGTCAATTGCAAGACCACTACAAATCACAAGTTCGGTCGAAGGAAATGACAGTGCAATGTCTTTGTCCCACTTGATCGGAACAGCTTGTCATTTGACATGAAACTGATCGACTTTAATTTTGAGTCATTTTTTTGTTACTTTTGTGATCCTTACAACCATGCTCGGATCTCAGCACAAACCTTTGTCTTGACACGGTATTTGGCTTTGATGTCTCTCTCCGCATTCTCCATCAGCTGCTGGTGGGCTGTGGAAGACTTCTGCCTGACCGGTGACCAGTCCCTGAACTGCATCTTGTACTCACTCTGGCGTGGGATCTTGTCTGGGACGAAGGGAGCCACGTTGGCTTGAGATTTATACACCATCTACAGTTGACAAGAAACACAGAGCATCAATACAAACCAAACAAGAAAATGGTTATAAGGTTGATTATAAAATTGAACAAAGCAATTGACTGCAGTGGAGTTTGAACCTGCCCCCTTTGCTTGGATGTCAGCAAGTAACATGCACCTGAAGAAGCTGGACAATGCGCAACGCCGTGCCGCACGTATCAGCAAGGCTCCTCCGCAGGAGTTGAAGATTGACCGCTTATCACATCAGAGAACTGTGACAGGTCTTCGTTTATTGTACAGACTGCACGCAGAAGAAGTGCCAGCACATCTGAAGACCAAGCCCCCCCCCCCCCCCCCCCCCCCCGTAAGAGTTTCATCAAGGTCTACCAGGGCTAGCTCTTCATTGAGAAGTTTCACCTTGCAAGGATTAACTGGTAACGGCTGGGAGTGGTCACTGGTCACTGGCATACATGTAGTATGACCGTTCCTTCATTCCAGCTATGTTTCCAGTTCCTACGACAACAGGAACCAAGGCCTTCTGCTCAAGGACGCATAACTTTCTTAATAATTTGTAATTTTTCTTCACACAATGTATATTGTTATCGTTACTGCACTTTGTTATCTTTCTTTTGGTTCCTTCTGGTACAAGTGGGCACTGCTTTTATTCAGTGCTTAGACGTAAACAAAAAAAATTCCTGCTCTACCAAATGATCTACCCAGCCATTTGTGAATAAGGAACTGTTTGTGTTCAGTCAGTCACAGTAAGGATTGCATTGGTCTGTACCTGTTCTGCAGCCATGAGGGGTGATTCCTTGGGCAAGGCATTCCTCCATTCGTAATTTCGCTGGTATTCAGAGAGGTATTTGGCGGACTTGGGCCGTGTGTCCTTGATGCCTGCCTGATACTGCAGGGCAACATTCGGCTGTCAACATGACAAAGAATGGATGGAAAGTGGTCAATCAAAGACTAAATGTAGGAAGTCTAAGCTGGCATGAGTGAATGCTCAGTATACACAAAATCTTGTTACTTTTTTACTTCTATTTGGCACCCCCCCCCAAAAAAGCCCCAAACCAAACCAATCGCACCAATATTGTAAAAACATAACCATGTTCTGTAGTGTTACCTTTACTGTGTGTTTATGTGCAGGTTTAGAAGTGTGGTGTGTGTTCTCCTTGTTGTCTTTTCTTCCCGGTGCACTGGCATCCTTGTTATTGTTGACGTTTGTGTCTTTATTGTCGGCCTTGTCAGCTGATGTCGCGTGGCCGTTTGTGGGCTTCAGACTAGCTGCTGTATAAGTCTTGTTCTTAATTGGCTCCTTGCCAGGTTTTGATCTTGAGACTCTGTTGAAACAAACAAACAAACAAACAAACAAAATGGAAATAATTCTGCAACAATATCAAGAGTGATTTAAGTCGGCCCTGGGGTTTTCGAAGGTATTCCGAGGTATATATAGTGCAAGAAATTTTATCTACCATTAAAAAAGGGGGCAGGAAATCCTGTAAATTACAGAAGGAAACATTTGGTCCTCAGGAACAAGTACATATCCTCAAATAACAAACTTTGATGGGAACCTGTAGGTTTTTATGAATAATTAGAGGTCTTGCATGCTTGCAGAGTCAAACAGCAACAACGTGCATAATTAATATGCCTTCCACAAACCTTCAATAACTCCAACTCCTTGGCATTAACGCAAGGAAGCTTCTTAACTACTCAAGAACTGTGGGCTGTCAATCCGAACAGAGTGCCCAGGTGCCCGACCGTTGATGTCAGGAATCGGTTCCAAATTATAGGATCGGGTATCCATAACCGACTTGACAAATAACTTAGTGCATGTAACTTCTCAGACAATGTAAAAGGTTGGTTGTGGATGTCATTTTAAGGAATTTTCAAAATGAAAGCCAGGCTACATGCCAAAACAAAACATAATTCATGTTTATGACATTTGCAGTTTTCACCATAAAGCTTCGTTTGTATTTAAAGCTCACTGTAAACATTTGTATCCTGTTGTATTGACACACCGATGTGGCAGTATCATCATGCAGACTTTTGTGAAAAATCTTAACAGCAATTTCCAAGATTTGAATTTGGGGTTGGGCTTCTCTAACAGCTACCCGTGTTTTTTTCAAAGGGGTACCCAGTTCCTGTACCACCCGTTATGCCCGTAAATGAACACCCCTAAACTACACTGTGCAGACAAAACAGTTAGCACATAATATTTTACTTAACCTTAACTCCGTAGGCATTTTTGCTAGGACATCACCGCAATCCTGCAAAATCCTCCAACTTCCTCCATGTAAAAAGTACATACAGCCTCAATCCTCCAACATCATCCATCATTTTTGAATGCGGTCCTTGGAGGGGTGACCAATGACTCAATCCTACAAAATCCTCCAGCAATCACTGTCAATATATTGAGGTAGAGCCAGTGACATTCTGGAGCAGTGCGGAGGATTTGAAGTATAATCTAGACCTAACTTTATGCACGGCTGAGCATAAACAACACAAGGTCCAGCCTAAGACCTTGACACTGTACATCCTCCAAAATCAGCCATATCTTTTTTGCCAAACAGCTCAATCCTGCAAAATCCTCCAGTTTGCAAAGAAGATTTTGGAGTATTTGGGAAGGTTAGTGTAGAAGATACCTACGACGGCGGCTTGTGCTTCAAAGAATTTTGTCATAAACACACACGGCGGGTGATGACTTCGTTTAATCTGTAACAATAAATATGTAAAAATCAATGAAGAAACTAATATGAATTCGAACAATTATTTTGTAAGCGCAGCGCACATATGCGCAAAGGCTTTGTTGACATTTGTAGCACACTTCTATGAACGATGTTGATTTTTACATGTTTGTAAAAATAAACATCGTTCATAGAAGTGTGCTACAAATGCCAACAAAGTCATTAAACTGTAGAAGTTATCACCCGCCGTGTGATGTTTGTGACCAAATGATTTGTAGCACAGCCGCCGCCGTCGGTATCTTCTACAGTTAGGGTGTAAATATGAAATGCCATCAAACATTACTGCTGTGAAAACTGCATGCTGGTACCATCTTTTATTAAAAAATTATGGAAGTCAGAACACCAAGATATGTGATGAAGTGGCCCTATTTTGGCCTGAATCTCCAAATGAAAGTTCCTGACAAACGACTCATTCAGCCTGATCACATCACATATTCCAAGGGCATGAAGTGCCACAAGGTTAAGGATGTAGGGTTTTAACTTTCTCTATCCTGCAAAAAAAATCCTCCAAAATGTCCTATTGGATTTTAAAGGATATGGGTAAGGGTCACTAGATTCTGGAGTTGTGTCACAATTGTACTGGCTGAGCCCGATACTTACTTATGTGACTTGCTGCCTCCCTCACCAGTCCCGCCAACCTTGTACGTCTTCAGTGGCATCATGGGTACGATCCCACCGCCCCGGCCTCCTCCCACGATGTGCCCCTTCCTCTTGCCGGCATCGTCATCAGATCCAGAGACATCCCCAAAGAACTGCTTGGTTGTGTAGGTCACTTTATCCACGAAAGGGAGAGGAAAGCGCTTGTGTTGGAGAGGCGGTTCCTGTTGGCCTAGTAAGTGGAAACAAACGATTGAGAGGCACATTTTGGTCAGGGAAGTGGACCCAGAGGGGAAAAGAGGACGTTTAACTCCAAGTCTTTTAGTATTTTGACCTTACACACTGCCAACATTAACCCTTTAATTTAACCTTAACCCTACAGGGTATTTTGACAAGAAACCCTGCCAAAAGTAGCAACATATTGACCAGACAGCCTGCCAACATTAACCCTTTAATACCCTATTCCCTCCAGGGTATTTTGGCTAGAAACCCTACCAAACCCAGCAACATGCAACACTTTTCTAAGTGACAAGCCTGCCCAGTGTAGCAAGATCCATCAGGTCAAAAGTCTCAAGGCCAAACTGCCTCAGAGTCTGTGGTCAACGAATGCAGCAGGATACAACTGTGGCATTGTTAAATGGGACTAGCTCTCTTGGTCTCAGAAGCCGTTTATACACTGGTGTTGGTAGCTCAGTGTTTCAAAGTGCACCAGACTTTTCCACCTGATGTACTGTGTTGCGTCTGGCAGGGTTAGGGTTAATAATGATGCAACACAGTGCATCAGATGCATTTGGCACACAGAGTATGTCATGAGAAAGATATTTGGCTAAAGGGACATCGCAGATTTGTCCTTTGAAAAAATATAGGTAGAATAACAAGCAATGGTAGCCAATTTGAAAATTTGGAAAATTGCTTGTTATTCTACCTATGTTTTTTTTCAAAGGACAAATGTGCGATGGCCCTATAGCCAAATATCTTTCTCATGACATACATTGCACACTGACTGTGTGCCAAATTCCATGCTTGTATCATCAAAGGCACAATTCCCCCAATACATGTATTTCCCCTATCTGCCTCACTATAAATCCCTTTGAATGCCCACGCATCAAGGTCCAAAAGATTGTTTACATCTTTTGCAGCTTGTTGACAGGGTTGTGTTGAGCAGGGCCAAATTTTTCTTGACTTTCACAAATTTCTCTTGACTTTTATGTTTTATTCTTACCAGAATCAGCTGACGACAGACCAGCAGTTGGGGACTTCTGCTCAGGAGAGGGTCTGAAGGATGTGGATTTCACAGAATCATGCCATCGGAACTTCTTCTTGTACTCGCTTAATGCCTGGAAAGTGTGGGTAGAAAATAATGTAGGCAATGAAGCCATAATTAAATGGAGTTCCGACTTCAGAAAAAAATGAAAAAAATTATATAATTCCAATGTTGAAGTCCACTAACACGTACATGGCCCGCAATGGCCCCTGTTAACGAGGTGCAATTCTATCTTTCTCCTGTACTGCCTCATCATCAGAACCAAAGCAATTTAAGGTCGAGGGTTACTCGTGCATGAGGCACGGAAACCCTCTAGGAATGAAAGCCACACTGTAGTTGGTCAAGAGAATTAAAGCACGCCTCAGTCGACGGCAAACGATGACAGACAAATGACAGACGGCCGAGTGCGAGACTCAAATGATCCTGGTGAATGCAATTCTGGTAAATTTCACATTTTTGTTTGACATTTGAGGGATTTCAACCCACCCTAGAAGTACTACAGTACATGTGTAATCCCAATACTTGGTCAAACATTTCGTGACAGGAGAGTTTGGACTTGGAGGTCAAAAAAAAAATTGTCACCGGAAAATACAAAAAAACAGTAGCCTAACTGCGCATGTTCAGTGCTGTTATGCATAAACATAATGCTAAGGATCATACTAGCTAGTTCAGTGCATATCCGGCAAGCTAATACTAAACAAAAAAAGTAAAGGTTTGCCGTCTCCGGCAAAATATCCACTGCTGGAGTGCTGGCACTGCCATTTATTTACGGAGGTAGTCCAGTAAATTGGCCACATTTATGGGGCTACTGATGATCTCCATCTCATCTCCATCTCTCATCTCCATCTCATCTCCATTGGTTTATAAGTCAGCAAAATATCCTGCCGGATACATCAACGCTAACTTGATGATCACTGAACACGCTGGACATGCTGAAGTCGTGATCATCAATCATCATGCACACCAGTTATTTATTTGTCCCTAGACTCCAAGGTAGGACTCCTACCTTGTTTTTTACCGGCATCCTGCAGCTTTCACAAAATAATGCTTGAATAAGGTGAACAGGTTACAATGTTCCATTAAAACACATTGCAAACAAATTAATCTTGAGCTAAACAGCGTGATTTTTAAGTTGATTTTTTAATCATCTTCACTTGACATGCGATTCTTGTTGATGTAGCGATCTCAGCGTTCTTTAGCTGGTACCAGTGATTTCTTTGCACGCGTACATTCAGAAGCAAGATGATATTTTGGGTGCGACGGACACCAGCTAACTTTAGCCGTTAATTTTGTTTGGCTATTGAACGGATATTACTTGAGCTGAATATTAGTAAACTAAATCAATCCTTCAAACACCAGAGTACTTTTTAGCAGATTGAACTTCTGAATTTTCGATCTCAGGCATATTTTCCTTCTTCCCGGTGCTGATAATGGCGGAATCAGGAACCAGTTTATGGAATCGAGAACATTATTAATTCTGCTCAGACAATGAAAAAAGAAGAAGATTTTTAATGTCCTTTATGGGGAATTTTCAAAATTTTTCGAAAACCAGGCTCTATAGCGAACATGGAAAAACAAAACAGATTCATGTTCCATGACGCCTGCGAAAATGCAATCTATATACCGTTAAGCTAAAGAGCTCACCGCAGTCTTGTAATTAATGCTCGGTGTTGACGCACCGGCCGATGTGATATCGATCGTGGGGACCTTTATGGTGAAAAGCAACTTCTGAGATTTGAATTTTGGGGTTGGAATTCTTTAACGGGTACCCGGATACAATTCCCGTACTACCCGTAAATACACACCCTTCATTACCCTTAGTAAGCTCTGAAATCATAAACCATGAATATGTGCAGAAATCTCATAAAATAATAAGAGCCACAATGTAATTCAACATTAAGCATTTGCACAAGTCTAGTAAAATGACGTGTCTCAAAAGTATCCGAAATAAGATAAGAAAAGTACAATCACAGTATGTAGTGCGAAACGAACAAAGATACCTCCCTTTAAAGCAACTGTCGATGTTTGTACGTCAGAAAGGTCCAAGTGGCATGCCGCAATTAACAAATAAAGAAATGAAAACTAGTTAATTATGTAATTGCCCAGCTTTTTTTTGGTACCATCTTGCTCTTTTTTGGTAGATCTTGCTCTTTTTTTTGGTACCATATCATGCCTCGATCCGCGGGGGAAGTGTATGGAATAGACGCTTGACGGCAAGCGTTCTGCGTTCAGAACATGCAACACTAGACCTCCAGATTGTGACCATTCAAGGCGCTTTCTATCATGTCTTCGGTAACCCGATTTTGTATATAAGAAAATACATGGCAGCTATTGACCAATCAACGCCTTTCAATTTCTCAGTGCTCTAAACGACGTCACACTACTCGTAAAGGCGGCTCCGATTGGCTCGGGCGTCGCATAACTGAATTAACATTGCACAGATCATCATACGTTCGCAGTGTGGCTATGCAAACGTCTACCGCTGGGGGAGATGACGCGCGACGGGGGAGGGGGTTAATGGGGGTATTTATCCCCCCGCCATATTTTGTAAAGAGTGCCCTTTTTATTTACAAGTACCTTTTTTTCACGAGCGCCCTTGTGTAACGAGTGCCCTTTCTTGAAACTTCGCGTGAACGTCGGCAATAGACTCCCCCCCCCCCCGCCCCCGCTGGCTACGCCTATGCAACATGATATTTTTTTTTGGGGGGGGGGGGTGGTTACGGTTGGAAATCATTCTGTCAACAAATATAGCAATACCCCTGATCGTCCGCCAGTATGCAAAACAAAATCCGTATGTGGGTTGATCGGAACATTAAAAGCTATATGCGATAAAGCGAATTCGGAAACGAAGCCGAGTTTTTTAAAAAGGGCCGTCAATGTCGTCATGTTTATTTTTAGCCACGGAGGCTGCCTGACCTACAATTTAGACGTGAGCGTCGGGAATAATTGTCAGGTCTGGGAACCAGACTATTTAGACGTTTAATTTTGTGCTCAAATTGTGGAACCCAAAAATTTGCTCACTGGAAAAAAATGTGAACAAAAGTTTTCGTATTGGCTTACTGCCACTATGAATATACAAAATTATCGAATCAAGAAATGGCGTCGACAACAATTAAATATCTAAAATTCTGGATTTTTTTGGTGCTGGAATATCTGTTATATTGATGTTTCTGCCTGAAATGACATCACACGGTTTGCTCATGAATATGGAAATTCGCATTAGCATACAAACCAAAAAGGCACCTAAATAACTTTGAAAATATGGCAAAACGAAATTCAATTTAAGTTTAATGATGGGACACATGTATTTTGAATGACTGCATAACAAAAAAAAAAGATTAATTGCATGAGCCCTTTATTCCGTCGATACCTACGTTGAGATTCGACATGGGGGGGGGGGGGTGGTGTTGACACTAGATGGCACTGTTCATGTAGTCTTGTGAAACGTATTGTATACATTATTAAACAGCGGCTTAGTTTTCACAATTCGGCTTGGGGTGGATGCTCTCTGAATCTCATTCACGATTTTTTGACATTTCTTTTTGTTCAGCACGAAATTGGGTGTGCGTGTGTGTGTCGGGGGGGGGGGAGGGGGTGATTCAGTGGTCTATCCCCTGGTCAAAAAGTGGGGAATATAACACTTTAGGTCTATTCACTTTTGTAACAATATTAATAAACGGCCCACGGACAGACTTGTGTTGGACTTGTGATTGTATCTGTATTACTATTAAAGCATCCCGGGGGAATCATCACACCAACTTGTTGTGCATCTCGTGTGGGACTACGCCAAAACGATTGAACTCGACTCACTGAGTTTATTGCTCCCTCAATCCGTTTACAAGAGAACTTTTAAACTGATAGATATTATTTTGCCTTGACATCAAGGACTGCCGGACTGCCCATTTTTTCGTCCCGTACCATTTGTCCATTTCAATGTCCCAGTGTGAATGAAGCCGTAAATTGTGTGTGGCGCGCCATAGCTTCGCAATATCGATCTGGTACCAAGCTGTTTATCGAATTGCGTGTAAAAAAACCTACAACTTGTCTGGTTTCCGACTCGTTTCAGTGCCGTGGCCGAGCGAACGCGAGGTAAACATTGGTGCATTGCATTTGCTCTATTGTACTGACGTGTAGAAAAATACGTTTTCCATTTCAGCCGAACGATTAGCCTACTTCCTACTCCTAGTAAAAAAAAATGGCGTCCATTTTAGTACTCGGACTTATTGGAGTTTTAATTGCCATAGTGGTCACGGTGTTTTACCTACTTGTCTATTCGGGCCTGTTCCATTCCATTGATATTGGGACAAAAAAGTCTCCTATCTCTAAAATCCACGTAGCTTACAAATTCGCTCGTGGAAGTTACAGCGATGGCGGACCACTGTGGACTGAAGTGTCGAAAGCCGCGCCGAATCTCCGATGTTTTGCAGTGTATTATGACGATCCAAAAACGGTAAACGGCTGAGAATTAACAGGTTTTTGGCAACAAGAATATCTTTGGCATGATCACAGCACATTTACAGATATTGAAGCGCTCTTTTCTCTGAGCATTTGATTTGTTTACTGTCAAAATACAAAACTGCAACTGTCACTGTCTAAAGCACACACACAGAGGGCAGTTGTCAGGATGTATATTTTGTCACATCACCAGATCACACGACCTCAACTAAATCTGCACTAAATTGCAGATATAGATAACATTTTGTGTAGACATTGGAAATTTGGAGTATGCATGAGAAATGACCCCACTAGTTTTTGTTAAGACATGTAACTTGTAAGATTGTTATCCCTGGGCTATCAAATGTCCCCCCCCCCCCCTGGATTTTGTCTCTTCAAAAGTGAAAATCCCCACGTCTTGGGTGGGGCAGCCGGGGGGGGGGGGGGGGGGGACAATTGATAGGCGCATAATACAACTGTCATGACTGGTGTGCATGTGTTTCATTTAGCATGTTTAGCTATGTTTATGCAGGGTGGTGGCTTTAAATTATGAAATATTGAAATAAATTAGCAAAAGAAAAAATAAATGAACAATTAATAATAAACCTTCACTATTCAGAAAGAAAGAAAAACCAACTGTTGCGAAGACAAAACAAATCCTGGAATTGAAGTTGTAGCACTTTTTTTTCAAAATTTGACAAACGATGAGGATGTGACACATTGTTGACACGCCTGTCCCTTCATGAGAACAGACTGGCAGACAAAATCCTGTGCAGTGCTTTCCCAATTTATTTGATAAAAAGATTAAAAACAAGTTATGTAAGCAAAGGGGATTTATATCGACAAAACCCAATATTGAAATCAGCACAAATAGTTGCACAGTATCACAGTTATAATGTTCATGTATCCTCTGCCACCAATAAGATAATGGCTGACTTGAATTTCAAATCCCAGTGAATTGCAGTTTTTCTCCAAATACGCTTTCCCTTACCAGAATCCTGCTCCGAGCCTCCGATACATTGTGGGCACGATCCTGAGCGAGGGCGACAACCAGGCCGACGCGGAGCTGGAAACACAACTGGTCAACCAAGGCTTCAAGATTGCTGACTTCCCTGAGGTGTCCAACATGGTCCAAACCACATTCCCCTATGTCACCACCTTGTCTATCTACATTGCTGTCTACAGAGTCTACGCTGCGCTAAGTGACTATTTGACGGTGAGTCCAAATGGTTATAAGGGTAGTTTTGCCGTTGCACCTTGTGACAAGGAATTTTTTTTTTGCAACTTTGTGTGGTTCTAAAAAGAAACGGTAGAAACTCAGCAGTGCTGTGATTGTTGTCAGGACAGTGGGCAGAGCGTATATTTACTGTCGAAATATTCAGGTTCCTCTAACAACACAAAACACACAAAAGGGAGTTCTTGTCTCAGGTGTCAGGGGTGTAAGATCTCAGTTATAAAGCTGATTTCAGCTTTTTTGTTTTGGATTTCAGCTTTTTCCCTCACTTGCTTTGTACAAAAGTATAGGAGATTTCAAAATGTCAGCTTGTTTTTTTTACACCTTTTCCAGCTGTTTTCAGCTATTTTTATCAGTGGTCACTCACACCCCTGTTGTCTAGAGATACGACTGCAATTTTGCTCTTATTGCTTTCAAGATCTTGACCTACATGTACATGTAGTACATCCACGACATTTGCGCAACTATGTACATGTAGCAGGCATGCACCTTTTCTTCGGATCAGGCACTGATTTCCTGTTCTTCTTTTTTTACTTCCCATTTGTGCCATTAAAAATAGAAAAAACGCTGCACAAAAACTTGAAAGATTTGAATTTGGATGATCTTGAGGGCACTTTCAACTTTATTTGTCTTTGCCTTAGTACTGTTATAGTGATACAAGTTTTGCAGGACTTGTTGGAATATTGCTATACATGTAGATCCCTGCATTGCTGAGATCAGCTTTTGTTATTACAATTCAATATTCCAGTGAGCCTTTTGGATTTACCTTGGGTTTACCTTGGATGCCACACCTCCATCTTCATACTGTTGTGATGAAAAGTGTGGCTGGATTGAGGGGGCTTTTCTACCCATTTAAAACCCCAAATTTTCACAATTCCTGCTTAAAGCTTATTCCAAGACTCAACTACTCTCTGGCTGTAGAAGAATTTGCTTTTGTCAAGTCTTGGTTTTGTCTTAGCAAACTTATGGGGATGTCCTCATGTGCTCTGGTATGTATCTTTCTGGAACATGGACAGATGGAGTCTGGGTTGGTTTGGTCTATCTGGTTCATGATCCTGTATGTCTGGATGAGGTCCCCGCTTTGTCTTCTCGTTAGTGTAGTCGGGTTCAGTCTGGTGAATAATCGCTCTTCTTATGAGAGGTTCTTGATGCTGGGGATGAGTTTCGTAGCTCTTGCCTGCTTTTTTTCACAAACTCTTTTGTCTTTTTCCAGATGTGGGCTCCATGCTTGCACAGCATAATCCAGGTGTGGTCTGACAAGTTGTTTGTGATTTCCCTGGAAATTTGGCAAACATAATATAGGGGGCGCAGGGGGGGGGGGGGGGCGCTATTTGGAAAAATGAAAAAGCAAATACCCAAATGAAAACGAGTTTACCCAAAGTGAATAGTAACCTCCCATTTGTGTCTGCCAAAGGCTAATGATAAAAGTAGAAAGTGTCTACCTGTACCCAACCAAGAGGAAAAAGACATGCTTTCAAAGCAATATTAAATGTAAGGCCTCTTTTCCCCCCAACAATTTCCCGGTGTGTTTACAATGTAGGTAGTCATAACACTTCATGCCTGCTGTGCATACAATATTGTGAGCTTTTAAATAGATTGTTAATTAAAACAGGCAAGTACAAGTACATGTACTTTTCCCTGTGAAAGTACATTGTTCATGTACTTTTTCCTGTAAAAGTATTGTATACACGTGTACATATTTTTCCTGTAAAAGTACATGTACATGTTTACTAACACTTGACTACAATCCAAGTGTTTTTGATCTAGGAGTACTAACGTATTTTTGTTTCTTCTACACTTGACTCATTCTTTTACTCATCAAAGAGTTCCTAATTATTACATTCCATTATTTCTGTTCACTTCATGTACATCATGTACATCTCATACTTGTAATGTATGCACATGTAAAGTTCTCTCTTTGCATATTGAATGATTTAAGTAGTACATTGTAACTTAGTTTTAAATTTTCTATCTGTCAAGTGACTGTTTTTGGAAAAATATCTGAAGTGCATAAAAAGAAATGTCAAACATTTTTATAGTCTTAATTAATGCTATAACCCCTTTGCCAGACTGCTACATGTACACAGTAGAACACCACCTTAAATAAATCAACAACCGCTAAAATTTCGTTCAATCCTTCAAGTTTAGTTTTAGTTCCAACCATGTGCTCTGCACCTGTGTTTTCAAAGTTTGTGATGCCAAATGTGCAGGCATGAATATAATTCCCCTCACTGGCATGTTATGTTTAGTCATCTCTGTGCAGTGTTATTTTATCTCCTGCCTAAACAAATTCACACTCGATGGAATTGTGATTAATTGATGAATACTTCGCTCTGCAAACATACCTCAAATTCTACAACTGCCATTGGTGGTCAAATGTCACATATTAGCATTTACATGTACCCTTGCTGATAAGGCTCCAACACTACAAAACAGTGTTTTGTCAAAAACTTAGTTTGTTTCTCTTACTTCATTGTTAACAGCAGTGTTGAAACAATCTTTCACTTTTCAAATTTTGTTGTTATGAATAGAATTAAGTAATGCAGATTTAGTGGGACATAAATTGTGCAGGTGAATATTCAGCGCAGACTTTGACCTACCACTCAACTTATTGCACAAATCAAAACAAACATATAGAATTAGAAAGGGTTGTAGAAATAAAAGGATTGAATGGTTTTGTGTTTTCTCCTCTTAAGCTCTTGCTTCCTATTATTATTCTCAGGCTCAGATTAAAAAAATCAGGGACACATCGTTTTAGAGTAAAAACGTGGCTTTTTAACACAACACACTTGTTTTGTCGGCAAAATCATCCTGTCAGCAAAATTGTGTGTCCTTCGGCAAAGATTTTGGAAGAATGCCCAATTGTCAGATACATGTAGTGTCCATGATCAGCGGCTTTGAACAGCGCCCCCTATTTGAAGTTGATGTCCTCCCCCACCCTCCCCCCCCCTTTCAATATTGTGGAAGCTGGGTGGCCAGGTAAAAAGACCTTTTAGCACGGATGGTCTGTCTGCTTGGTTGTCACCCCCCTCCCATTCAAAGTGGTCTGGTGACGCTCCTGTTCTAGATATTTCACAATGCAAAGCTCCAGCAACTGTGGACTCTATGCAAGGACAATAAATGGCCCTTTGTGACACATGAGTGCACTGGTTTGTGCCAAATGTATGCCGCAATGTACGCACAACGTACTGGTATGGAAGCCTTAAACTGTGTGCACAAAACAAGCACAAAAATTTGCTAAGCACAAAAAGTCTGGCCTAGTAAAAAGCCGGTTACCAGCCAAAACTCCATGTGATTTTCATGACAAGCAAACAACAGCTGAATACCAATCACTTGCAAGCAATATACATCACATGGTTTTGCCAAGGCAGACTTTTCATGCTAAGCAATTTTTTTTTGCTTAGCAGCCCCATGAAATTGGCCCCAGGGGCTGACAGCTGTGTGTTTGAATGTCCCTCCCAGGAATCTCCCCCAACTCTCCAGTTTTAACTGCTTGGGTTACATGTGCACGGTAAATGGGGGTACTTGTAGCTGCAGTTTAGTATGGAGTACAAACTGATTCTAAGTGCATTGACTATCCAATTTTTGAAAAATGTTGTTTTCATTAGGCAAATGACCTGTGTGCCTACCCTTTCATCGAGCTTTACGCCGACGGGCTGATCCACTTCCTAGCTCCGCTCTCCAAACAGAAGGACTTCTATGTCCCCGAGACAGGCGGGATTGTGGAGATCAGTGAGCTGTCAGCTGACCAGATGGACGAAGACGAAGATCAGGAAGACCCCCAACGAAGCGGCGTGGAAGAGGAGGAGCCCAGGGAGAAAGTCGCTGTACCCCCGGGCGAAGAAAGTACTAACAGCGATAGCTCATTCGAGCAGGTAGATCCCCAAGAAACACATTAGCCAATTTGTTGCTTATTTTGCCGGGAAATTTGCCCATCCTGCATGTGTAAGGCCAAATAGAAAAAAAAAACAAGTTTAGCGTCCCCACCCGCTTCCTTTCTGGAGGCTGCCTCCTTATTGTTTTCTTTTTAAACCGAAAAAATGATGAATTTCAAACATTGACATCATTTTGGCCTCTTTGTGTGTTGCATAGGCCTACAATGTTTCATGTGTTTGCCCATATAAAGCTGGTGTGTCATTTCCTGAGTCCAAACGGCGGCCATTTGGCCTAATGTTATGGCAGGTTTTTGTTGAAATAGTATGGGTTCTTGTGATTTCTTCAAAAGTTAAAGGGACTTTTTTTATTGAAATAATTGTTTACAGAGAACAACTTATTATTTTTTTTCTCTTTTCAGTAGTTGTTGACCCATTCAGTTAGAACAGAGTTTCCGCTCAGTAAGAAAATAGGGAACTGACTGATGAAAGGGAGAAAGGAAGTTTGTAATTTGTATTTCTAAAATATTTTTGTCCTGCTTTGTTTTGTTGCTATTTGTTTGTCATTTTTTTTTCCGGGATGACTTTGCTTCAGTTCTTGTGCAAACTAAGAGCCCAAGTGATCTCCCTGAAATGTTTTGTCGTTGTATTTCTGAATATAAATTCAAGCTGAACAGCATTCTACAGTTAAACTATCCCAGTATGTTAGTGATAAAAAAAACCTTGTAGTTACTTAGATCTTAAAATAGCTGTAAATAAACTTCATCATTTTGTAACGTCGAAAATTGGTTTCATTATTGAAAAGAGGGTAGAATTAGGATGCTCCGGGAACTTGAAGTACTGAACCAGAAGTCACATTGTTCTTGTGAGTTGAGGCCATGTTAAAATATAAACTAGTTTCTCATCCTCGCCAGCTTTTCTTTTTTCCTGGCTGCCTCCTTTTTAATTTTTTTTTTATATTCATACATTTGCAAAATATTTGAACACATATATTTTCAGTATATTGTCTTTTTACCCTAACCACCCTAACTCCATCAAAATCCATCCCCCCATTTTGGTGGATTTTGGGGGACTTGGTCCAGAAGGCCTGGCGTGACTGAATATTGATGGAGTATGATGGACTTAGGCCTAATGGCCTGAAGCAGTGCTAGGGTTATATGATTGATTTTGCCTAGCTTCCTGTACTGCTATTGTGATAAAAGTCATGTGTAGCAAATCCACAAATGTCAACCAGTGCGTCAGTGGTGGATTCCACTATGTCATGTACAGTTTTGTATTAGACACATAGTGATTTATGGATTTTGATGGAATTGGTCCAGTTCCTAGTAAAAGACGTTAGAGAGTTAGGGTTAATTTGTTTTCCACAAAATTGTAGCTATGTAGAAAGGGTTATGGCTCCTTTGGACACAATTTTGTATCAGCAAAATAGTCGAGAAAATTGAAGAATCCATCCACCTTCTTGGAAAATCTGTGAAACAAACAAAACAAAAAAGTATTAAAAAAAATGCCTCCTTAATTTTCGCCAAAATGCCGGACCAGAACCTACTTATTTGTTTTACCCGGCCTTATTTTGTAAATGGTACTAGAAATACTCATGAATTTCTTATTTGAGGTCAGTGAACTTGATAAGGATGAGCACACACATGCTCCGGCATGTCCGGTGTCCTACAGCTGTGTAGGAAGTTAAGTACTCTTGAACAGAACACTTCACTCTTTCCTGGACTGAGTTCACAATTAAGTTGTCGTCACTTAGTAAAAGAGCTTTTTTCTTCTTCTTTTCTTTGATTCGAAGAGACCCTCAATCCTGTCAGATAATCAATCTTGCAATTATCCCCCACAAGTTCCATTATCTTTGATGTCAATTTGGACTTCCCGTTGTGCCTGTGGCAACCTTTTAGTTGGTGTCTGCCGTGAATGTCTTTGAAGTGAATTATGGCAGTTTTCAAGTGACCATTTTTTGAGTTGTTTGTCGAGCCTAGGTCAAGATGTTCATGGACCCCTGTTGGTGATTGGCGTTGAATTGTATTTTCCTGTGTTCCTTGTCTGTTACTGCTTATACATGTACACAGTTTATATGCGGTTCTGGTCGCTTTGGTATGGGAGATGAAATTTTTTAATTGTAACTTTTTGTTTAACAGATCAAAATTGACCATTTTATGGCTCAATGGAAATGTGAACATCAACTTAAAACAGATTTTGTGTTTATGTATAAGTATTGTATTAAAAAGAAGCGCACAAATTTGTTGTAGATCAGAAAATAGCCCAATGTTATGTGTTAATAGTTCAGCATAAATGCTACGTGATTTACATGTACATGTATAAGTAATGAAGATCGCCACATCTTGGAATATTACATGCAATAAGAACAACCACGGTTATCTTCCATATTCATTTCAATATCAATAATAAATTCAGTTATATTTCGATGAAGGATAATAGCTCTGTATATCTCTGTTTCAACAAACAAACACTGGCCACTTTTACAAATTTAATATCATTGCCTTAGTCTGTTGAACGGTTTTGAACTGTCACCAGCTTAAACGTTAACTCCCTGCACTCTGGTATGGAGGCAAGATTTGCTGACTGTTTTCCGCAGAACACAGTCATTTGAAGGGCTCATGTTATTGTTTTGAATGCAGTCCTTGAAAATGCACCATTGTGTCCCATTTGACCTCATTTTAAATTTTCATGTTGCCAATTTAAGGGCATTTTTGGCGCCTTTTTTGTTTTTGATAATACAAATTTGCATATTCGTGAACAAAAGTGTGATGTCATTTCAGGCAGAAAATTTAGTGTTGCAGCTATTTCAGCACAAAAAAATCCAGAATGTTTGATATTTTGCTGTCGAAAATTTTCTTTTCTTTGTCATGTCATTGTTTGTTGATTCGTTGTTGTTTCAGTACATTGAAGGGCCAATGAGCAAAGGTTTCTCACAAAATGTTTTCAATGAGCACAATTTTTTTGGTTCACAATTTAAACAAAAAGTCCCTAAACTAGTGAACAGTGTCTTCCTAAAATGACATCATTTTAGCAATAGCGCCCTCATTTGTTTGGAAAGGCATGGACATTTTTAATGTTTAAAGAAGTGCACTTTTCAATACAATTAACCAAAAAGGGATGTCGATTTGTTTTCGTACATTTTAAGAGGAGTAGAAAATTGCACAAAATATGTTCTCAAGTAAAATTCATGTCATGAGCCCTTTAATCTTGGCGAATGTTCCACGTGTGCCTCTTGCCTGATGCGCCCCTTGCCTGATGCGCCCTTGTCACACCCCGGTCTTCACCGGGTCAGGCTCATTTTCTTTTCTGCTGAGGGTGTGGATCTAGCACCCTGACACCTTAAAGAGGTGCCATATCGTGTACAGCCAGGGTGACATGATCTCTAGATAGAGCCCCAGGCTAGTCATGCTGATGATGACATCCCAATTGGTGCAGTCACATGAATGTACATGTGCATGTGTAGTGTTCTATATACATGTACCAATGAAGAAACGACATTGTCTAGGTGTTCAGCTACTCTATTTTCTGTATCTACCGGTACCTAGTATGTTATGGACGAGTCAGTCAGAATTTCTGATGTATTTGGTAGCCAGACTTTTAGAACGGTAATTTTTCTCAGCCTTAAAGTTTGCCGTCAGCGGGTATATTTGGAATTCCACACTGGACCACACACTACTACAATTCTGTACCATTTTGTGCCACGCCTACTCCGAGGCCTATGCCGTTTACTAGACCTACAATTCACGTGAGAAATCAAGTTTTATTAAGTTGGAGCATCAACGTGGTTGATGTGGTATTATTATAAAAGTATGTACACATGTAATTGCTTATAAAATTTTGAATACTTTCCTAACAGGCAAAATGGGTCCAACAAGTATTATAAAGTTACATTGGTATGCCTGTACTCTTCAAATCAGAAATGTACATGTAGTTAAAGTATTGTATTAAATGACACAACTTTCAATGTATATGTGTTCTATATGTACATGTATTAATAAGTATTGCCTAAATTATATGATAAACTGCCAAACACCCGGGTAATCACATGTCTTGTTATTTTCTGTAAACCCGCTAATTCGTTCTTTTCTTTTAATGCAGAATTTAAGTGTTATTATTTACTGCCAGTATCGGTAATAATATGCACCTACATGTATATTTGTCTGACAATTGAAATCAGGTGTGTGGTTAAGTCAAAATGACAAATGACGACCTCTTCCCAATAAGTTTGGTTTTCTTGTGTTTTGCTACCATTTGTTGTTGTGCGCCGTTACCCTTTGGTAATAGTTTACCCGTTCTGTATATAACTTGTCCAGTACAATAAACTGTTGAAATAGAAAGTTAAAATGATTAGTTGCATGTTAATGCAGGGGAAAACATGATGTCGAACAAGAAGGTTCATTGATATTCTTCTGTGTTTGATTGTTAAAGAAATCTCACGTGAAGTGTTGTGAAACCTTAAACTTTATTTGATTTTTTTATCGTAGATGATGAATGCCTAAAACAAAGCGTTGAATGTTGCCTAAAATATAGTGGATGAAACAAGAGCTAAATAAACTTAAACGAGACAAGTATTTACAGAGTTTGCAAAGTTATTTAGGCTTTGTATTTTGGGCGTAAAACCGGGAGTGTACAAAAATCTCGTTTGAAGCTCTGGCAGGAGCTTCTACATGTCACTTTGTGGTCTGTCTGTCTGTCTGTCCGTCATTCTGTCTGTCTGTCTGTCCCCGGAAAATTGACCAAAATAAGCCCCATAAGTTTACCATAAAATATGAATACTAAATTCTAATTTTCCAAAAAGCAAACACAATAAATTAAATACTTCCCAAAAATTGTTTGTAACAATTCGGAAAGATGTTTATGAAAAGTTTGTAAATGGAGGCAAAATATGTGCAGTAATGTTATAGGCACGTGGTATTTATCACAAGTCGCTATTAATCTAGGTATAAATCTAAAGTATGGTGTTCCATATGTGCCATCGGCGTCCCATTTTAGGCGTCGCATTTTTAAGCTCTGGCAGGGATCATTTTGCACTCGGCCAGAGCTTATTGTACACTCGCACTTGTTCTTCAAATGTAACCCGACCGACCGGAAATATTTGTACAAAAATTGCTGGCTGAATTTTTTAGTACGTTGGCAAACAGAAAAAGTGTTGCATGACATGCGGGTTGATCCTTGAACGTTGGTGAAAATGAAAAGCAAATATTTCTACATCCGAAATTTATGAACTTACCGGAGTGGAGCTTTTGTTTTTTATTCGATCCAATTAAAATAAATCTTTATAGAAAGCATCAGAATTGTATTCGAATTGTTTGCTGAATCAAAGAAGGGGTTTATATTTTTTTTCGAAAAATCAAATGTTCCAAAATGTACTGGTTTCAGAGGATTTGACCAAGAGCTTAGTTTCAGCTGATGAAGGTCTGCTTATTACTGTTATATGAGGTGATTTTGGTGTTAACGCTCAGCCGATAGCTTGATCCTCGCAACAACCCTTACGGACTTATTGTCATTTGAGTGGATTTTGAAGTCATAGCTCAGGAAGGAAAACTCGGAAATAGCGAATATTTTCTTTATATTTAAAGTGATTTGCATGCTCTCTTATTTCAGCCTTCGCTGTCACATAACACGTGAGCAGTTATTACAGTTGAAATATGCTGGTACTTCAGTGGATTGGGAGTCAGGTTATTTAATCTGAAAGGGAAGTTATTAGGTGTTTCATTGAACACTTTATCCTCTTCATGACAATGATGAAAATATACTTCGTGCCGCAAAAAAATCAAAATTGGTAACTAACTACTCCGCAGCTCAACTTGGTTTGAATTTTCTCAATCTCGCTGTTTCGTTTAGAAGTACATGTATAGGCTAAATTTCCTAGAAAACTAGCA